TCCTGACTTTGAATTCAATCTTCTTTCTGTCTCAAAAGTCTGCAAGGATAATTCTTGTTATGCCATATTCAATTCCGAAAATTGCTTCTTTCAAGACTATTCGACTGGCAAACTGATGGGCATGAGTAATGTTGCACAAGGATTATATTTCTGGATTGATTCCCCAGGAGATTTAGATTTATTCAATAAGAGTATTTCTTGTAATGCTACCACTCGTAATAAAAATCTCTTTTTCATAAACATTTGGGTCACAGTGCGCGTTTTCCCCATCCAAAATGTCTAATATGTCCTCTGGCTAAACAATCTCGGGTATCTTTTCCAATCAGTACATCTCAAGCTATTTGTGCTTTTCCATTACTCCATATGGACATCTGGGGACCTTATCATACCCCTCATCACGACGGATTCTGCTTTTTCCTCACAATTGTGGATGACTAAACCCACACCACTTGGGTATTCCTTATGCAATCAAAAAGCCAAACTTTTTCTCCTTTATCGAGTTTCCTTTCTATGTTTAAAAATCAATTCGATAAAATTTTCCAAAGAATTCGTACAGACAATGGGCGCGAGTTCTTTACTTCTGAGTGCATATCATATCTATCTTCTCATGGGATACTTCACGAAAGTTCTTGTACCTATACTTCACAACAAAACATAATTGTTGAGCGCAAACATAGACATCTCTTGGAAGTAGCTCGAGCATTAAAATACCAAGCTTCCATTCTGGAAAATCTTTGGGGAGATTGTGTGGTCACGGCAGCCTATTTAATTAATCACTTGCCAACTCGAATTCTTGAAGGTCAGACTCCTTTTGAAATGCTTTATGGAAAACAACTAGACATTAATCATCTTAAAGTATTTGGCTGTTTATGTTATGCAACGACTGTGGGCCCTCGAGATAAAATGGATCCCGGTGCTACTCAGTGTATTTTCATGGGATATCCTCCTCTTCAGAAGGGATACCGAGTTATGGAGATCTCTACAGGGCATTTCTTTATAAGTAGGGATGTTATATTTCACGAGGATGTATTCCCTTTTCAGAAGATGACATCTTCATCTCAATCATCCTCCTCATCACAGGACCACCATCAATTTTTATCCAATGATGACTTATCCATGGCTCCTAAATATGTTATTGTTGCACCAGAACCATCTATGCCAGTTACAAGGGAATCCTTGAGCCAAGAAGATGGGGATGAGGATACTAAGAGTGTCATAACTTTCGTATGGCGTTTACTCAAGTGCCATAACTTTTTTTCGTTTACTTGAGTGCCAAAAATTTGAAAAAAATGATCACTTGAGTGCCATCGGTCATTTGGCAGCCGGAAAATCCAACATGGACGCTGGTCGTCCTACGTGGTTTCGCCGAAGCTGATGTGGACAATATTTTAAAATTTTTTGAATTATTTTTTTTTGAATTATTTTTTTTTTGTAAATTTTTTTTTTCAATGCCGACGAGGGTCACCAGTGACCCTCGCCGATTGTGAAGGCCTCGCCCAGATTGGGCGAGGGCAGCCTTGCCCTTGGCCGCGAAGGCCATCGCCAGATTTAGGCGACCGCAGGTGAGGCAGCCTCGCCAGATCTACCGCGGGTGAGGCGGCCATCTTTAGTTTTATTCTCCAGAAGCAAAAATTCAAGATTGGTTGGTTCAGGTCATGGATCAGATCTTCTCGTTGTGAGTCAATCTCTACAGTATGAGCTCTTGAAGCAGAGCACCCAAATTAGACCAAGAAGACCCACCTTCTTCCACAGCCCCTCTTGCCATCTCTGCAAGTGCTTTCGCTTTGCTTCTCATTTCCTTTGCTTCCTCACCCACTAGATCTGGCGAAAGCCAAGGGCTTTTGCGGCCGCGGGCGAGGCGGCCTCGCCAGATTTGGCGAGAGCCTTCGCCGCCTCGCCCACAGCCGACGAAGCTACAATGGCCTTGCCAAGGGCTTTTGCGGTTGCGGGCAAGAGCCTTCACCGCCTCGCCTGCGGCCGATGAGGCCACGATGGCCTTGCCAAGGGCCTTCGTGGCCATATCGGCCGATGGCGAGGCAGCCCTTGCCCAATTTGGCCGAGGGCGAGGTCTCCGACGAGGGTCATCGGCAACCCTCGCCAACCTTGAAAAAAAAAAGGAAAAATAAGAAAGAAAAAGAAAAATTCAAAAAAATTCAAAAAAATAAAAAGAAAATAACATTAAAAAAATCCATGTTGGATGAAAAATTAATTAAAAAATCCATGTCAGCTCATTTGCCGGAAAATGTCACTCAAATGATCTATTTTACTCCGATGTGGCACTCAAGTGAGCGAAAAAAAAGTTATGGTACTCAAGTAAGCGTCGTACGAAAGTTATGGCACTCTTAGTGTCCTTATCCCCAAGAAGATGAATTACTAGTATTATCATATGAGAATATTCATTCATCTATCTCACCCATGGCAACCTCATCTCCACCACAACTTGCTCAAGAATCCTCCTCAAAAGTACTTGAACAAGTACCAATTGATCAACCTCGACGTTCTAGACGAAATATTCGTCCACCTATATGGACCAAAGACTACATCTGCTCTACATTGAGTTTTTCAGGTACACAACATTCGGTATCTTCATATGTCTCATTTAGTAGACTCTCGCTAGAACATATGCGTTGCGTTAGTTGCATTTTAGAAGAACATGAGCCATCTTCATATCATGAAGCACCACATGACCCTCAATGGCAACATGCAATGGCAGCTGAACTAAATGCCCTCATTGAAAATCACACTTGGGATATTGTTTCATTACCCCCACATCGAAAGCCGATTGGCTACAAATGGGTATACAAAATCAAATTCAAAGTGGATGGTTCTGTTGAACGTTACAAAGCTCATTTGGTTGCTAAAGGATTCACACAACGAGAAGGTTTTGATTATCATGAAACCTTTTCTCCTGTTGCCAAAGAGATAACTGTACGTTCCTTCTTATCCATTGTTGCCATTCGTAATTGGCCACTGCATCATATGAATGTTCACAATGCATTTCTTCATGGGGATCTGGATAAAGAAATTTATATAGAACTTCCGTAGGGTTTATGCAGATAGGGAGAGTCTCGAGTATGCTGTCTCCATAAATCCCTATATGGGCTTAAATAGGCTTCTAGGCAATGGTATGCCAAGTTCACTGCTGCACTTACAAGTGTAGGATTTAAGCGTTCCAAAAATTTATTTGTTGATATATGTTGATGATATACTTATCATGGGAAATAATGATTCTCATGTTGCGAAATTCAAAGAATATTTGCACTCCACGTTCCACATTAAGGACTTGGGACCTCCCAAATAGTTTCTTGGGATTGAAATCGCTCGATCTGACAAAGGAATCAACCTTAGTCAACGAAAATTCATCTTGGAAATTGTTTCAGAAGCATGAATGTCAGGATGTAAACCAGTTGTTATACCAATTGAACAGAATGCCAAGCTGACGACACATGAATATGTTAAGAGTTGATCTTCATCTATCAAAGATCCATTGCTTAAGGATCCATCCGGATAACAACAACTTGTTGGAAAATTGATATATCTTACCATGACAAGACCTGACATATGTTATGTAGTGCAAATACTTAGCTAGTTCATGCATAACCCGAAACAGTCCCATATGAATGCAGCATTAAAGGTAGTGAAATATTTGACGGGATGTCCAGGACTCGGTATATTTTTGTCTCGTGACCGTAACATGAAGATGACAGCTTATTGTGACATAGACTATGCTACGTGCCTAATGACCAGAAGATCTATCACTGGTTTTTGCGTCAAATTGGGAAGATCACTAATTTCATGGAAAACGAAGAAACAGTCAACCGTATCATTATCATCAGCCGAATCAAAGTATCGAGCAATGGCAAAGACTGTTTGCGAAATAGTTTGGCTATGAGGACTACCCTCAGACCTTGGATTACAAGTTGATGGATCGAGTGAACTGTTTTGTGACAATGATGCCACACTCAAACTAGCGGCAAATCTAGTTTTCCACGAGAGAACAAAACATATAGAAGTTGATTGTCATTTCGTTCGGGACAAGATTCAGGAAGGGATCATTGTGACAAAAGGAATTGGAACTGTAGAGCAACCTGCAGACATCTTCACTAAACCACTATATCAAAGACAACATACATATTTACTGAGCAAGCTAGGTGTCCTTGACATATATAGGCCACTAGCTTGAGGGGGTGATTTGGAGAGACGATTTGATATTGTATATTATTTCCTGTTTTTTCCTCATTTTTTACGTTATAAATAGGTCAATGTACATGTACACAAATCAGATCAATACAATACAATTTTCTCCAATTCTGTTCGGTTTCTGTGAACAGATCCACGTATACAGGATTTGATCAGCACTCAAGTTTTATTCTCTATAGGCGTGATGTTTGTTCTCATTGACCAACAAACTCCTGCAATCGGGCCGACTGTTCTCATCTACTCAAGTTCGAAATCACGAAGTAGATCAGCATAAGCGGAAATGTTCAGAATGAAAACTCATGTGGATGGAGTTGTTCAGATTACTGATGACAAAATAAGTATAACTTGGTGATGCTATTTTATGTTTTTTAACAACAATTTCACGTAACTGTTCTTTTGTCGGTGAAATTTATACGGTTCATTGCATAATTCATGCTTGACTACATAAAAGAACTGGGGATTGTCATTGAACACGGTTGCAATAACACAGCTCCTTTTTCATGGCAACAATATCACTAGTCTTCACTAGGTTATTGCGACATGAATACCATGTATATGCTTCGCTTATTGACTTCGTCTTAGTATGTCATTAACATGATTTACCATGTTTAGGACGTTTTGGCTTTTGTAGAAGAGGAATGACAATAATCATTTGCAAAGATAAGAAATATTTATAAGATCCTCCATATTTGCTGTAAAATCCAAATGACCAAGGTTCAAAATGCCATGTCTACGGCGGAGATGAATTGCAATAAATACATTCAAACGCTACAACAACAATGAATAGCCATGAATATGACTCATGGTTGTGTTGGAGGCGACGGAACTTCGCGCGCAATCAGCAACGGCTGCTTGACGTTCTTCCTCACGTATCTGCGCGCCCATACATGCTTCCCGTTGATGGTGAATTTCGCCTTGCTCTTGCTGCCGAGTATTGAGTCTATGACCGAAGCGGGACGGACCACGAGACGGGCATACAAGGCTTGTTCCTCCGGCGGCACCTCTTGCATGTGCAGCTCCTCGATGAAGTTTCCAAACCGCCTATATCAAGGGAAGAGAGAATTTAGTTGTGCTTCAACCCTTAATGTTTAGTAGTCCTTCATTTTTGTCCTAATTACCTTGTTGGTTGACCCGGTTTTTCAAAGCTCTACTTAATAATCAACATGGTCGACAGATTGAAGATGATATTGAATTGTAAATTGTAGTCACGAAATCGGTTAAGCTTGAAAAAGAGTAGTATTTGACCCGCTTTGCCATAGAAACTAAATAATCGAGAGGGAGCTAACCTAGTGAAATAGTCTCGAACTTCACTTTCCGGAATAGGATATCCCTTCGAGAACGTCAAGAATATGGTCCGCTCATCAGGTGGCATTTCGATGTTGTCTTGGATTGCGGAATCGCTCGGCTTGACAAGGAAGCAATCGTCGTCCCAGATTTTCGCCTCTTGTTCATAATTTTCGCTGAACAGCAGATCTAGAAACCCTCCATTTTTGAAGAGCGGGATGAATGATGATGGTACGTTCGGTGGTCCGACCCCCATGCCTTGGTATGGAACTGGCGGTATCAGATATACAGATTGATCGCCGTAACCTTGCTCACTTGGGTTTGCAAAGTTACTGCTCTTGGCATTGGCATTACTTGTCCTAGCCTTATTTTGCGCGATTTTTTGCATTATGTCGAAAAACGCCAATACGCAAACATCATTGATGACCTTGTTCATTCCCTGAAGAATCACGACGCGGTGCTTATGAAAGAATCCGAGTCCGATTTCACGGTTAGTCAGGTTCCGCGTGAAGCACATCTCGCTGGTCCTCGACGAGGGTGGGAATTCATCCCTCTGCATGCAAATCAGGCACTCGACAGCTTCATCGGCCAGCGCGTTGAGCACGCTGTCGGGCCATTTCAAGACGGTGGTGACGAGGGTCTGGTCGCGGCCCGCCCTCTCCAGCCACATCAAGAGCGCCATCACTTGCACGGACTGATTCAGGTCCCGGTTGAGGTTGACGACTAGGCGAGAGTAGACCCGCCTGTCGGCGCGATGGAAGCAGCAGAACTCATCCAGGGAGAGCCCGTGAAGTAGCTTTCGCAAATGAGGGGGAAGAGAGTCAGCAGCCATGGTAGCTAAAGATTGATGGTGTTGGTTTCTTGAGAGCTGTTTCGGATGGCGAAGAAAAATGGGTTTTTGTAGGTGCCGAAAGGGTGCAATCTTGCGTTCTTCGCATTGGTGACTGTTGGGGCGATGATTGCATACATGGAAAGAGCATTCTGGGGTAATCTGTATAAGGTAATTGGCATATAAAATTGAGACACAGCTTGCCTGATGCAACTCTCTTGTCACTTCCTAATCAGATAGCCTCGACCATAATGATCTGTATACAAGAGTCAAGACAAACCGTGCATGCATTTCTACTGGTCGCCAAGAACTGTTTTGGTAATCTAGTACAGTCCTAGGAAGCAAAACAGTAAATGATGCCGGATTTCTTTTGCCGTTTATGGAGATATTGCTGCATTTAGTGGTGGATTCTGGTATTAATGCTTCACCTTCATGCCAAGAAAGGCCAGTTAGATGCTACTTCAGATTACGCTCTTAGAAAGAAGAGGAGAAAAGGGAAAAACGTGTCCACTGCTAACTTTTGTCAAATTAGGAAGTTTTCCGGACAAAACATAATATCGGACAGTCGATGATTTGATGATTGGTCAACATGGTTCTGTAGATCGAGCGTCGTCAATAAGCACACGTTAATTCGATTTGGAAGTCCCGCGATGTCCTTAATGTAATCTTCTTGATGGAGTAAGAAAATCGGCCGGTCTAGTTGCCATCGATACTAGATTCGATCATTAAGTTGACGAAGTATGTAATAAAGAACGGAAAGAGAAGAAATCGATGAAAAAAAAGATTGAGCTTGTTTAGTTATGTCTGTAACTGACGACTAACGACTAACGGCTAGCGACCAACAACTAAATTATCCATAAAACTAAATGATTGTCATTGATGAATGATGGTTAAAACAATACATAGCATGGCAAGTGCCGGTTGTTAGCGAATAGCAGCCGATAACCATAATTATAGGCACGGGGATTTGTGTCGTTTTTTCTGCTCCTCATACACCGAACTATTTCGCTCGCTAAAAAAGGAATTTCTGCCGCTAATTTCATCTCTTCAATAAGTTAAATGAGAAGCATAAAAAGAAATTGCAAGGGTGATTAACTCATTTTGCAAGCAACGACGACAGAAATTCACGAAGGCGGTTCATATACAATTTTTTTCCGGGAAAAAAACGAAGTTATTTATTTATCTGTTTGTTTATTTTTTTTTTTGGGGAAAGTGGTGAATCTTCATGGGCCTGGGCTTCAAAGTTTATGGCCCACGGCCCATCTTCTTCTTCAAAACGCCCATTCGATCCGCGTGCTTGATATGTTTATCATCAGTCTTCTTCTCCGAGAGGCGGGGAGCTCGAAACCATGTCGACTTGCAGGTTCCTGCTGAGCAATGGCGTCATTTCTCAGTCCTCCGATGCTCCCACCGTCGCTTCCTTTCTCGAAACCCATACGGGTACTGTTTTCTCTTTACCCTTTTCTTGTCTTTTTTTTCTGGGTAGAAGTCGAGTCCGGTGTTTCTTTCTTTTTTCGCTGTTTTTCATGTCTGTGGTTTCGAGAACGGGATGGAATTTGAGCTTGTCGGAACAGTTTGATGACCCGTTTCATCAGAGCTCGCGGCTCTCGAATTCCTCAGCCAAATTCTTGTGTGCTGTAATTGGAAGAAACAGTGAATTCATAACGGAGTCATCAGCTGTGGGTTCTGCATGTGCACGGCTGTGCATGGGGTTTCTGCTTATGGGGCATTGTGGAAAATTGTGTCAGGTGCATACACGACCACCCGGACTCACAACAATGGTTCCTGCATCTTGTTCTGGGGAAGGCATCTGAACAGGCTGATCGACTCTGCGAAGATCCTGTTGCATTCGAACCCGCGGCTTCTGTTCGGATCAAGCTGGCCCGCGGATGCATCGTCGGCGTCATCGATGGCCCTGTCGATGTGGGAACTGGGCATTCGGGATTTGGTTAGTGACTCGACGGGGAAGGTGTTGCCTCGTGCCATGAGAGATGGAGAAATGGGACGGGAATTGGCCATCACGGTTTTGCTTAGCGGGGATTTGGAGAGTTCGAGGAAATCTGTGCATGTTGATCGAAAGAGGGTCGATCATGTTCTCGATGTTCATGTTCATGTTAGTGCTTATGTTCCCCCTGTGTTTGGTGCTGGGCAAAGCGGCGCACGGTTGGCTTTGGTGGGACGAGGGAGGAGTGTCGCTGCCGCAAAGTATTCGGATTGGGTAAGGTTAGGTTGCGAGCTCCATAAGAAATTTACGATGATCTTTGGTCTTTGTTTTTCTTCAAATAAAAAAGGGGTGTAAATGTCTAGGGTAAATTTGTAACTTTTAGGACGTATCACCGGTTGATGTGTTTTTGATCGCTATGCTCTTCTAAGAGTAACCGAAACTTCAGTTCGACTCTTGATGAATTCTTTACGTGGTGTTTTCAGAATCTCCTGTTAATAAGCTACCTTTAGCACTGCCGGGCCAGCACATGTTAGAACTCTCTGGGTTCCTCGTATTGGTTTCCGACAACCTTTTTTGTTCCTGTGGATCTGAGACCAGTTTCATTTTGTTGACAGGCTCAGGAAGCCTCTGGAGCAGTTGAGGCCTCCTTCTGTGACCGAGCTATTGCTGTCAGATGATGGTGATCATATACTTGAAGGAACTATAACAAACTTTTTCGTCGTCTGCCGCAAGGTGAGCATCTAAGGAGGCATTATTTTTAATAGAAATTCAATTGCCCTGAAGGTTCTTGGTCATGCTTCATTATCTTGCCATTCTTGATAATAGTCACTAGTTACTGCTTCAATGCTTGTAGATAGTTACTCTCATCTCATGTCTCTCAGCGGCTCTTATTGCAGCAAATGGACACTTAAAACTCAGAAAATTATGATTTACTAATTTGAGATAACATATCTAGTGTTTCAGTTATTCGTCCATTTCAAATCAATGACAGTCGGCAAAAATGGCGATCTTAAATTTCCATTCTTTGTTTTACTTATTGGGAAGAAATTTTAAAATTACATAGCTGGGGATCTACAGTTTGATGGTTTGTTTTTCAGCTTTAAGTGCCTGACTAAATGCTCTTTTCAGGACAATGGTGAAGACAATGGGAAAGGTATGCATCCAGGGACAAATATTTATTCCTCTTTGGAAGTGCAGACAGCTCCTGTAAGTGATGGCGTCCTTCCTGGTGTTCTAAGGCAATTAGTGATCGAGTAAGTCCACCACTCATGTGGAACTCCCTTTTGAGGATACACCGCCATTGATCTACATAAAACAACCGATTGCTGTGTTGCCAGAAAAAAGAGACGTATTATCCTAGTTTAGTTGATTATAAACTAAGGGAGGCTGAATTAGTGCACACTCTTGATGATTATCAAGTTCTCCCAATTTAGAGACATTGTTCTAGATGACAAATTTAATGCAAAGAAAAAGCTTGATTCCCTTATACTTCTAGCATCGTCATTGACGTCGATGGGACATGCAGAGTATGCTTGAGCAAGGGAATTCCATTTCGAGAAGTGGCACCTTCGTGGTCAATGCATGAGCTTTGGGAAGAGGCCTTCATCACAAGTAAAATCTCGCTCTTTTGCCACCAGCTATAGTATTATGCCTGCTCTGTCTTTTACAGATTTCTGCGCCATAAATCTCTTGGTTTAATTAGAATTTAGAAGTAAACCCTTATTTCTACAATGATTCGAAAATGTGAGTTTGCATGGTTGGTTGGTCGGATACCGAGATGGCATTTTAGCTTCTATTGAAAGCTGTATTCATTGATGGCTTGTGTTCTGAATTGAATTGCTTTATTAGATTTGAGTGTGTGAATTTTTCCTGGAGCCTTGTAGTTATAATAACCCATTTAGATAAAAACGGCTGACTAGTAGGGGTACATTCACTATAACATAGACCAGTCTAATCTCATGCAAACTTTGAACTATTTCTAGCTGTAGTTGGGGGACGATAGTTATTATTGTTTCATGTGGCTTTCGGTGGCCACAGATAGTTTGAGGCTTCTGCAGCATGTGGACACAATTCTAGTTCCAAGTGACCGTGCATCACTAGAATCAAGGACCTACAAAGAGGTGTCCTGGAAAGAGAAGCAGTTTCAGGTTTGTGAATGTTTTGACAGCGTGATTCATTAAAAAAATTTGGCTCCTGTCATTATTCTTATCGTCATTTCTCCTTTATCTGCTGGAAACCAGGATGGTCCAGGGATGATCACGAGAATGATCCAGGTAAACTACATTTGCCTTTATGTTTCTTTCATGTGTTACGTGAATCCATCTGATCTGATGCTTCTGTGTTTGACGAGCAGATGGAGATCATGGAGAAAGCAATGTTGGAAGGGCACTTATTGGATTCATCATGAGCCTTCCTAAGCCAAGAGAAAATGCCTCCCAGTGTCCTGCATCTGTGAGCTCGAGTAAGATCACGATCATTATTATGAAAATTCAGTCGGTTTTTATTTAAATGTCCGTATGTATGTATGGTGCTACCGCCATATCCCTTGGAAATATTACCCATGTGCTACCATAGAGAAGCTTTGTTCATTGCCAAGTAATGAAGGAAAACTTCTGTCTTTTTTGTTCTCTTTTCTTTCAGTGAATAAGAAAAAAAAAAATGCATGACTGTGTCCGGTTTCTTTTGGTTAATCTGTATTTCACTGGTTAATCTGTATTTCACGCGGAACATGCAGAATGATCTCGTAGTAATGGATGTATCGATTCCAAAAGTGGAAGAGCGGCATACAATTGCGATGATTTTGCTTTTGCCTTATGATCTGTGTTACCATTAAGGATTTCCGACATTCTGTTCTGAACAATTCTCGGTCTGCCGTCAGGAAAGTTTCCATTTTTCCAGATGATCCGAGGAATAGCATGACATCGTAGCAGAAATTGGAGGATTGAAGCAACTGACTTCAAGAGAATGATTGAGATGGAGATCCTCAACGATCATCGACGCATGTCATCTCTTCGGGAACTCTCTTCATCTCTTGGATGAGTGCTGAGAACCAGAGCCATTCTCGGGAGGGAGCGACCAATCATCCGATGATGTCGCGTGCCGGGATCATTAGACGCGCATTACAGCCCCATCGCGATGAAAGAAAGAACGAACGAACGAACGCTCTGTACCGAAATGAGTGTAACAAGAACCTATCCACAAATCAAAGATTTCATAGATCGTAGCTAACCTTGCTTTTCTCTCTCTCTCTGTCTCTCTCTCTCTTGGGGGTATCATTGCCCTGAACGAGACTGCGTTAGAGAGATTTCTTGGTTTTTCGTGCATCCGATACTCCGCCAGCTCGTGTTGGACCGAAAATGGATGGAAACCAATTCTCACGTTACAATGAAATACACAGGAAAACAATAGAACAGTCCGGTGCTCGAGATTGTTCGAACACCGACATCCCATTCGCGCATATTTGTAGAACCGCACGGTCCCGCGTTCTACCGAATGACCCCCCACAAAGGTTCTTGTCTCTCAATCACAAGCGGCGATGTCGCATGTAACTCGCCTGAACATCGTGTGAGATCAAACTCCTCCTCGAGCTTGCCAGATTTCGAGGATTTCGAGAGACCAAATTGCAGCCTGCAGATGACGGGCGCGGTTTAAACGAAGGGGGTTAACGTGGCGGCGCGCCATTTTGAAAATTACGATCCGCGGAATTTAAATGGGCCCGCTAGAGCGAGCCCGAGATAGGCCCAATTCGGGCCCGCTAAAGCGAGCCCATCTAGGCCCACGAAACAAACCCACCCGAGGGGCGGCCGATAAATTCCAACCGAAAAAAAAAACACAAGAAAAGAGAAAAGGGGGAAGAGAGAAAATACATTCTGCTTCAAAAAGGCGGCTGCAAAAAGTTCATCCAATCCCATTCATTCCTTCAATCAATCTTCTTCCTCTCCCTTCTCTTCTCTCTCTCTCTCTCTCTCTCTCTGCGCTTCTTCCCTCTTTTCTCCGTCGTCAGATCTTCTTCTTCTCTCGTATAATAACAAACCAAAAAAAAAAAAAAAGGAGGCAACAACACGCGACGCGCGCCAAATACGAATCGAATTCAATCCTCATCTTCCTCCTCGTCCTCCTCCTTCCTCTCTTCCAGGTTCGTTGTTCTCTCTCTCTCTCTCTCTCTATCTCTGCGCGGAACTCGTGGTCCTCTTATTAGGGTTTCCTTTTCCCCCCCCCCCCCACCCCGCCCGCCCGCCCGCTTCCATTTCTGCTCCGGTCTCGTGTTCCTCGCGTGCGTGGCGTGCCGTGGCGGAATCGGTGCCGGCGGATGTTCAATTCCGATGCGCGCCTCCCGGTCTTGGTCGGTCGTCCGGTGATCCGCCGGGCGCTTGATCGATCGATCGACCGCGGTCTTTTTGGGTAGATGTGTCCCTTTTTTTTCTCCCCTTCGAATTCCTTAGTCGCTGAATGCCGATGATTCATTTCTTGTTAGTTTTAGTTCTGTTCTCTCTCTCAGTTTTGCGGTGTGCGTGTTTAGATATGTAGCACGGATACCTACTGTTGTGCGTCTTTGTAATATGTGGGTGCATCCATTTCTGTTGGTCGGGATGAGTATGCAGTTATCCTTTGGTAGTTAGCGTGGCTGACCGTAGGGTTTCGCTCTTTCTAATTCAAAATTTTTTTTTTCTTTTATGAGCAGACTGGGTTGTTGATAAGATGGCGGAAGCACCGGCGAGTCCGTTGGGCGGTGGGAGCCACGAGAGCGGCGGCGAGCAGAGCCCGCAGTCGGGTGGTGTGAGGGAGCAGGACAGGTACCTGCCCATTGCAAACATCAGCCGCATCATGAAGAAGGCGCTCCCGAACAATGGGAAGATCGCCAAGGATGCCAAGGACACTGTCCAGGAGTGCGTCTCTGAGTTCATCAGCTTCATAACCAGCGAGTACGTGCTGCAGATTCTGTTTTGCTTGGGATCGGATCTCGTTTCGCTTGGATTGGTTATGCAGATTGTGGGTACCATTGGTTCTTTCAGTCCACTGCCGGGCTTCCTGCTTTAAGTGTGGTTTACGCGGGGATAGAGTCTTTGGTTTGTGGAATGCTGATCGCTGTCGTTGGAAGTCGAATTTGTTTTGCTGTTTAGTGTCTGGGTTTTCTTCTCTCTTTGGGATTGCTCATATAGTAAAATCAATTTTTGACTTTGCTGTGTTTATTTCCGCATCAAAATGGGTTCCCTCGGTGAAAAGTTATTGGAGAAACTGGACCGAAGATAAAATGCGTAGAGAAAGTGACACAGATAGGGTTGTTCGTGATTTTCTTTCTATAATTTGTGGAAAAGATAGATGTAGGCCGGGTTCTTTGTCACAGAAATTCCTGCTCAGTACTTTTGTTTTGTTCGGGTTCATTTTAGGGCAAGTGACAAGTGCCAAAAAGAGAAGAGAAAGACAATTAATGGTGATGACTTGTTATGGGCGATGGCAACCTTGGGGTTTGAAGACTATATTGAGCCGCTCAAGGTATACCTGGCTAGGTACAGAGAGGTAAGTTATGCTTCCTATCTATGTGTTTACTCCTTTTACCTACATAAATGCTTCAGTTTATGTGATACCTATTTGGCTGACCATCAAAGTACTTGATGATTGAGGGAAATAAACCTTTTAAGTACAAGTTTGCTGAGGTCTAGTTTCCAGCGCAGTGTCATTGGTGGCTGGAAAAACTGTCTGTCCAAGTTTCTTTTAGTTCGGTTATTGCCCCTTCTCCTTTTCTTTGCCTTCTCTTTCTCTCTTTTAGTTTATGTTCTAAACTTCTGAGACTAGAGCTGCAGTTTCACTGCCTTATGTTGTCTAGCAAAAATGGCACTTTTTCTACATGAACGTTGGCGGTTACAGCCTTAGTTTAGTTGACTAGAGGATAGCTAGTGATATTCCGGAGTACTTTATGGTGCTGAAGGTTGTGGAGCAGCTACTACTCTGATGTGGGGGCTGTAGATACAATTATCTTTTGTTTGTTTTATGGTGAAATGGATTCTTTTTCCATTCTGCGGTAGCTCAAAGATACTGTTGGTTTCCTCTTATTGCAGCCACTACTTAGTGAGTGGGTTGTAAAAGCCACATCTCTTGCTAACAATGACAGTTGCATCCTTCTGTATTGTACTTTAGCATGTTTAGCTTTCAACATTCTATTAGAGCTACCTCAAGTCAAATTATTAAAATGTGTTGTGCAACGAAAACATGCTGATATGTAATGCCGTTTTTATTGGCTTAAGAAATAAGTTAAAAGGAACTGATTTTGTTCTTGGCTTAAAACATTGATATCTCCTGTCATTAATTATTGCATCGTTAGATTCTGCACATTTTATTTATGCTTTTTACTGACGCATGCTTCCTCTTTGGATAAATGTCTCAATGGGGGATGATCATGTTGATGGCTGCAATGGAACAGTTAGAGGTCTGTTATTTTAAAGTATTATGGATTCTTAGCTTTTTTGGTTAATTGGTTTTGTTGTATTCACTAAGTTTGTGCATATTAATCTCTTTATAGGGCGATACGAAAGGTTCTGCAAGGGGTGGAGATGGATCAGCTCGGAAGGATATTTCAGGAGGTCAACCTGGTCAGAATGTCCAGGTGTGCAGAAGTGTCTGTTCTCTTTAAAACACGATAAATGTTTTAGGGCCATGTTTGCAAAATGAAAGTCTCAGTTTTTCTGCCCTGCCTATAGATGTCATATTGTCTTAGACTTTACATTTTTCTGTTGAATCGCAGTATGTTCAGCAGGCTTCATTGTCTCAACCTGTGGGCTATATGAATCCACAGGTCTTTCTCTCTCTCTCTCTCTCTCTCTCTCTCTCTCTCTCTCTCTCTCTCTCTCTCTCTCTAGTTCTAACCAGTTATAGATGTTGTCCCATTGTTTTCAAAATTGTGAGTGAGCCATGAACTCATGATATCATGCAAACCTACAATCAGTGAGGTAATGTTGTGTGAAGTCCCTCATTGGATCAGAAACTGTTGGGCTTTTCAAGCGTAAAGTAATACAACAGAAACAATGGGTCCTTTATGTATCACAGAAGGTGATTGGTGTGCTTTTCTACCTTAACCAAGATAAAACTCGATGACTATGGGGCTTTCCACCATCAAATTCGGCACCAAAAAAGCAAATAAGAAATGTTACAGTTTTCTTCTTTGGTCTATGCAAAAGATTTTGTTTGATATAACGGACGCTTTCTGGTAAATTTTTTGAAACAGTCAAATGTGGTAGAGAATAGTGTCTGAGCTATTAAGTGGTTTGATTATGCTTAGATTATAGCTAATCTGTCATTGCAGACAGGCAAAGTGATACTTTATGATACGCCCTGATTTTTGTGTTCTTTGGTTAATATGGCAGTACGGTCAACAGGGCTCAGTAAATTACGTCAATGCGCATCAATGAATTACATTAGTTCTTTTTCAGGTAACTCATTACTCCATATTTCCTTGCCTCCCCCATTCTTTAGCAGATGCCCTTTGCGCACTAGGCCTGGATCTGCTTGTGCTCTGCTTTTGTGTGTTTGCTATATTTTATCAAGAGAAGGTGACATGACAGTGCAGTATTGCAAAATTGGTGATGAAGGAATTGACATTGGAAGAAGATACTTTCAATAAAGTTGGACTTGTTAACTAGACTGGTTTGGATATATGTCGGTGTGGAAGCCAAGCCTCCACACAAATATGATGTCAAATCAAATTTACTGTGTATGTTGCAATAGAGCTCTTTTTAAATAACACATGAAGTGGATAAGAAACACTAACATAGTTCATTCCCAACCAATCTGCAATTTTACATGCTCGTTCTGTTTTATAATACATTTGCAATGCGTACTAAATCCATTCTGGTGATGACCCAACACAGAGTTAGTCATTTTACTATTTCATGATATATCACTAGGCTATAATCTTATGCCTAAACGTGTGCTTGACAAAAAGTAGTATGATAATTTTAGCATGTAATTTTATTTAACCGTGGTCTGAAGGAGGCTATAACATTGAAGCACATATAAAACAAGGGATGTAATATGTTTCATTTTTCTTTCCTTGTGTTGGAGCAATCCACATGCAGGGTAAACTTGGAAGAGATTGACATTTAGGTAGCACTTAGTTTCTGTTTCACGTATTCCGGTTAAGTGAAAATAGTACACTTGTTGGCTAAAGTGGTAAAAGTTCCCTTCTTTGTTTCTGTGTTTTGACAATGGTGGAATTGGAAGTTGGTTGGATGTAGAAGTGGTTTCTGGTCCTACCGTTACTGTTTTCTCATAGAAGTTCTGTGAGCATTGCAGGCACAGATGCAGCATTTGCAAGCTCTCACGGTGGGAGGTGAAGCATGGTGCGAGGAGCTTCTCTTCTATAGATATTATGGTGAATGGCGAGGTAGATATAGGCGAATAATATTGGAAAAGCATCTTTAATGTGGTTATATTAGTTCACAATATGGTGTACTTGTAGGTCTGGAATAGTGAGGGATTGAAGGTTGACGTCTAGGATATTTTTGTTGTTAATTAGGAAAACAGCTACAGTTGCCTGATATTCTGTAAATTTGGTTCACTCATTGAGCACCTAATCGACTTTTTATATCGAGATTTCAGCCGATGCACCTCACTCTCGATTCTATATGTTGTGTGAGGCTGAGGACTCCCACGCGATAGTGCTCATTTTACTGATTAAGAGAGTATCTCATTTGCGTGTTTTGTTTGGTTTTCTCTAGTTAAGGTAACGCGTCCTATTGAAACCTATGCTTCATCAGATCACTTCTTGACTGCATTCGTGTTTTGAACATGTTTAAGGGCTGGGTGGCGATGCGAACGAGAACCTCTTTTCTTGATTAAATGCTTGTGTATGACGTGCCAGAAATAGGTTAGTAAACATTCGCAAATGTGCTTCTCTTTGTTTGGTGGATATCATGTTTGCAATTGTCATGCCTGGTTATGCTGTAGCTATACAAATTAACTTTACCAGCAGAATCTTATTGTACTTATTCATTAAATCGGGGAATTTTGGTGGTGTGCCATCCGCTCGAGCTGATATCTCACGTTTGGCAATAGCTTAGCTGACCGCTGGGTAGCTACCCCGCGCCTTAAAAGGATTGGATGGTAACTATGTTACTGCAGTGGAGGTGATCATAGTTGTCGTCTCTGGTGGTTAATAATTAACCCCAGATTGTTTTCTCTGCTGTAGCTATAGTGTGAGCTTTGCTTACAGGCTTGATTCTGTGGACAAGCAAAGGTTATGGTCGTGGTATGGCATGTTCTGCTTGTCATGTGCGTAGTACTGCTCCGTATTGACCCTGCTCCCTTTTGCTGTTTCTTCGTACCTGTGACAGAGTCCAGCTGATATGAAATTGATCTGTATATTCTGTACTGGATGAGGATTTATCAATATAAAAGCACATGCATTTTTACCTTTAATGCAGTATAAAATTGACAATTTCAAGTTGTCGTGACGTTGAGTACTGAGGTATTTTTTACTTGCTCTCGAATTATAGGTTTAATGTTTTGTTCTTTTGCTGGACACCGAATTTCGTAGTGGTGCAACCCTTTTTTCCATTTGATGTCGAAACAGATTGGCAACTCGCGTTTTGTTGGTAAGGTCAAATTAAAGCTGCAAGGTCGTCGGCTCGTGAAGGTTGAATCTGCAGTCGCTAGAAGGCGTCTTTTCAGTAAGCGAACGGGTCAGGATTAGAGAATTTTTCCCCCCGGCGCGAAAATCTCATGGCAGTATTTGTATGATGTAATCGAACGATAATCGTGGCGCGCGAGCCGGGACCACGCGCATTACGTTCTCACTTTTGATTGACGGCCTAAACCTCGCCTCTCTTCCGCATTTCGACCCCCTCTTGAATGCTGCAAAACCCGATAACAACCAAGCCCAGATGTGTCGGAGTCGTCAATGTTAAAGAAAAGAAGAAGAAAAGAAAAATAGCCCGGAGTTGCGATTCAAGTGAAGGGGCCCAGTTGGTGGGGGTTTTGTCCGTGTCGATGTAGGGAGCGGGCACGTGAGGGGCTGGCGACACGTTACGATCACGTGAGCGCGTGACGGTAATCGGTACCGTTTCCCCCCCCCCCCCCCCCCCCGCCCCACGGTTCCCAGAAAATAAAAGGCGAGGGGCGAGCGTGGTGGCATCATTCATGTCATATCAAAGATCATATATAAGTTCTGGGTCCCTGAATCTGATCCTCGCTTTCGCTTCCCCCTCTTATATTATTATTATTATTATTATTATTATTTTGGGGGTGGGGGTGTGAAACGAAGAAGAAAAGGTCACGACGGCCTGAGCTGTGTTGGCGGGGATTGATGTTTGTGTAGCATATATAAAAATACAATGTGGGACAAATGCGTGTGTCCACTCAGACACGACGTGACCATCATTTCTGGCCTCTGCACGAGCCCTCCAGCTCACCCCTCCCCCCCCCCCCCCCCCCCTCCCACAATTGCCACCATGGCCAACTTGACCCCTCCCATGGAGTCCTCGTCCCCTCTATCTCTCTTCTCCCTCTCTCTTCTCTGGCATTTTGAGTGGGCGACATGAGAATCTCACATTCGTCGCACACGACTCGCAAGCGATTAAAGGAGAATCGCATGCCAAGGAGAGATGAGGATGGTTTCAAGATAGAATTGAAAATCGAAAAACCGGTTGGTTCCAGATTTCGAAAATCGGGAAATCAGTTTCGACGGGAAGATTCCGGGTTCCATATTTCCACTTGTTGGAATTTGAAATAAGTTTTGTGTATTTCTTTTTCTATGTCTCCGCGCAATCCTGCAGTATTCCGTGACATCTGATGATATTTATATTTTTCGTGTATCTAAATATGAGTTGTGATCATTGAATTTTGGCAACAAATGATGATAATTAAAAGTGATAATTCATCGCAATCATTCAATTAAGAATACAGGTGTACCTTGGTACAAATGCTAGAACCTATGATATGGTAGGTTTCAGGTTTCACATTATGTCTGGTAGGTTTCAAGTTCCAAAAATTTGGGAACTGGCCTTGAAATCGCTCACCCCTAATGATAAGTCTACATCGGAATATCGCTTTGTCTTCGGCTGGAAATTTTTTGTATTCCATCGAACGAAATATGGGCAATCGATAATGTCGATCCCTATGCTCGTCCCTAGCCCATGTTCAAATTTCTCTCGACGCCGTCTCTCCTCTCGCGGGTGCTAGGTCGTTCCCCGATAGATTATATAACCCAATTTTCACTTTGATAATGGACATTTCCTGTTCTTTTTTGTTCATGGCATGAACTAAGGAACCGACCAGCTGAACTGAGAAAGCATGGACAGACCGAACATCTGAAATGGCTTGGACCGGTCATTTCGCTAGACTCCGTCCTTTTTATCAGGTGGGGGTACCAAGATCTCCAGCCTCGCTAGTTAGCACAACCGTCCTACAGAATGACCAGTATCTTCTCTGAAATTACTAATCACAGAAATGAAAGCAAAAAGATTTGTGGGCAACCAATGACGCATCCATCCGATTTGATTCGGAGCATCATTTTTCGGGTTCCCCTTTGAAGCTTAGTTAGCCCCTGGTGAACAATCAAATGTGCCCCCACCTTCTCCTCAAAACCCAGAAAAAAAGTGAAAAAAAAAAAAACATTTGCAACTCTTGAAATTTCTCTAATTTCCAATGGAACAATGGCAGCACCCAATTCGCCAGCTCACGCCTGAGGAGTCATCTTCTGTCGTAATTATTCTGGGCTCTGCAAGTTCCCACCACCCGCCACCTCCTCCCTGCAACATTGGTCAAAGCAGTGTGGTGTCGGGGTGCGCGTTTTTCCCCCTCGTACATTTGCCGAAAACGTCCCCTCCTTTTGCCCTACAGCTGGCCATGTTACCTCTCCTGGACAGAGAACGAACGTTTAAAAAACAAGCAAAGGGAAAGGGAACAAGACAGCGGATTCATTTCGTTCGGGCGTCGGTACGACTCTCTCGCCCTTCCGTCACGTGGCCGATGTTCATGCGCTTCACTTCGTTCTTCGGGGGGAGGTGGGGTTTCGTTCGTTCGATCGTTCGTTCGTTCTCGTGCATTTCGCCATCTGTCGTGAAGTCCATGTCCGAAAACGGAATCTGCAACGGTCGACGCGGACCCCTTGACCGCCACCTTATTAACAGCTGGTTCTCCCCTCCTTTTTAGCCCACTCTCGTTTCATCGAGGATTTCCTTTTTCTCTTTTTCTAAAGATTTTTGTCGACGAGTTCTCGTAGCGCTTGTTACGGATACGTTATGAAAGAAAAATTATTTCTAGAGCAATGGGCTACACAGAATACGAGAAAACAGTACATTAAGACTTATGAACCTTTTCCATTTCAATTACTCAAGAGGTATTTTTCAACCAAAAAGTATATTCTCAACGCAGTAGTATTATCGGTGGGCAAAAGTTAAGTAATGAGCAAACGAACAGGTCCCAGAGGCTTGTGAGGGAGTTTCGGCTTCTCTTCTGTGGTGAGGTTGGCAGTTAACCAAACACCAAAAAGGGTCTCGAGCAAAACCTTAAAAGGACTGATCCCGATCCTCATCCGGACCTCGAGATCACCGATATGTAATACTCTTCCTATCGGGGAAGACCAAGGTTCGAGGAGAATTAGAAGTGCAAGGCGTGTGGGTACTGACACGTTAAAATAAAGAACGCAATTGTACAGCCTGCCGTCACTACAAATGCAAATGAATAGGCTATAGAGACCCTTATGGGAGCTTTGGCTCCTCCTCTGTGATGAGGAGGTATTTTTCAAGAAAAAAATATTTTATTTTGAATAAATATTTCCAAACATAGCAGTATTATCAATGTGCTATGTGATATGCCGTATTGAAAATGGGAGTTTAAATAAGTGGATTGCCTCCAACATTGTAAGGAGTTCCTTATGTCACTTAAGCATACCCAATTTTTTTTTATAAGGGAGAATATTAGGGAATGGTTTTAGGCACTCGTAAAAAAAAATCTGAATTTTTTAAGATAGAGATTTATTTCGCAGGGTAATTATTCCTTTAAAATTGAATCATTTCCCATCAAGTGTATTTAACTAGTGCTTTCGCAACACCCATTAATACAATCATCAGCGATATGTGTAATTTTACATCAAAGCGCGTTTGTTTCGCGAAAAATGAATGATTTAAAAAAATATTTTCCTGAAAATGATTGCTCCTACCACTTACAAAGATAAATCAATGGAAAATACGATCATCGGGCACGAAAATGTTTAGACATAAAATTATTGTCGATAATGAGAACATTTTTCATTGAATAATTATTCTAAACGATATGAGCGATCAAATATTATCTAAATCATTCATTTTCTTTTTTGCAAAAACAAACTAATCCTTATTTTTTTTATTTATTTTTGGAAAAGAAAATTCAAGATTCCACCTGCATTTATGTCTCCGAATTATCGTCACATTTGCAGGAGCTGCGCTGCACGCAGTTTTTCCATTACCAGTTCGTGGATTTCAGCCTGCCCATAGAATATACAAATTGACCCCTACTCCACTTCCATCAATAACCCTAATAAATACACTGAAGAGAATTAATTAATCGTGGAATCTTGTTGATTCTGTGGGTAATGGGTATCATGATAATCCATTTGTTTGCATGTCAACTTACTATGTTCAGTACGTTCTTGCAGATCGATCAGTAGCTTTTCCTTTGCTGGGTGCGTTAGGTCATCTTTCGGATTGATCCCTTGTTCACATCATTACTGTTCAGCACTAATCCTCTCACATGGTGCATTGTTCTTGCAAAAAGTGCACGAAGACGAAGGATTCTGGCATCCGATTCATGATTGCGCCATGATTTGATAATTACACTTTATTATATAGGGGTTAATATCACAAAAAATCCTAAAATGGTACATCTGTGACAAATTTACCCTCCGTTAATTTTCTTAAAATTTTACCATCAAATTGCCGAGTTGGATGATACGAGACAGTTGACGGATATATCAATTTAGGGTTTTACCATTTTGTTTTTCACATATTTACCAATTTATGATTTTTGTGGTATTAATCCAATTTAACGGAGGGTCAATTTACCACAGGTGTACCCGGTTTGAGATTTTTTGTAGTCAAAAAATTAATTTTGGGTAAATTTGTCACGGGTGTATCAGTTTTGGATTTTTCGTGGTATTAACCCTATTATATATGAATATAAATTTGTAGCTTTCCCCTTAGGAATAAAAATTAATAAATATGGACATTCAATTTGAATTTTGAGACCCCATTAATCAACATCACCGGAATAATCAAGCCGGCGATCTAGGGCCTCGAGAAAATTAAGTACGCGCGTTAATCATGACAAATCGTGATAGGCGGCGAGAGAGAGAAACCCTTTTGGTGCCTGCATATGGACGTGCCCTCCAAATTATGCAGTCCAGCTCTCCGCATTCTCTTTGTACATATTCCACATTCTATGGCCTTTATTTTATTCGTAAAGATTAGATAAAAGAAGAATAAGAAGAAGAGGAGGAGGAGGAGGAGGAGCAAGAGTGCGGAAATAGACCCGTCTCGTTACACATGTAGAACATGCCGGTGTCGGGTTAGGGTCGGGTCGCACGTATGCATGCGGCGCGAACTTTACAACACGGATGTGATCGATGTTTTCTTCTTTTTCGAAGTAGGGGAAGTCTGATCCATCGATTTATAAGTGGTTGATGTATAATCTGAGTCTAATTTCATGGTATGATCTCAGCAACCATCCTTTAAAGAAATCTCGAGATCAGCATGAGATTAGCAAAATCAAGAATGAATCTTGGAACTCTCTCATTGCTGCTGGCCCACGACAGAAACACTCAGACAAAATACAAATGCTGGCCATGCATTGCTGGTGAATAGTGGGTCCACGTGATCGGGCAGGACGAGGTTGGCACTCATTAACATCATTTCCACCATTTTCCCTTTTTTTTTTCACTCCGAAAAAAATTATATAATAAATAAAATCACAATTTTTCTCCCAGGACACATGTGATAAAAGGTGGTAAACGGTCGGTGCAATGGTAAATTGTATAGTTTGGTTCGATAATTACTTTATAAGTGTCTCGAGACGTTAGTTAACATAGTTTGTAAATAAGTAAAAAACCTACAACACGACAAGATACAACCATGCGGTAAAAGAGCATTTTTCGCGTGGTTCGGAGTTTGAATTTTCACCTTCATATCTTTCTTCCGGACCCATTAGATTTGCAAGTGTAGGAAAGATTCGTACGTCCCAAATAATTTCTCGAAGTACAAAAAGAAAATGTATACTGTCTTATTAGTATGTTTTAATTTCATATCTATGTGATGTACAAGCTACATTCAGTAAATTTATTAATTTCTCTTAAGAAATGACCCTCATCATAAAGCAACTCGTTTTGACGAGAGTGGCCCAAAAAGTATTTATAAAAAACCTGTTCAGATCACGAAACAGTTTGCCACTGCCAAATGGCCAAATCACAGTGTCACGCCATAAGTACTATCTTAGGACTAATCAAAGCATTAATTTAATACAGAGGGGGGATATACTTAAAAGGGTGGCACTTTTCTCCAAGATGTCATTATCCTGTCTTAATTACTTTAATGTCGGCTTTGTCCGAGGCAGGTGAAAAGCGGGGCTGATAATTTGTGCAGTTGCGAAATTTTAAAAATTCAATGAGGAATAATGACACATACGGTTACTAAACTTTTAATTTGTTCAATATGGTCTATAAACTTTAACCCAATGTGTAATATGATCCCTGACTTTTAATTTGTTCAATGTGGCCTTTGAACTTTTGATATATGTTTAATTTGGTCCATGAATTGTATAAAAATGTTCAATGTATAGGTTAAAGTTCAAGGACCACATTGAGCCAAAGTTCAGAGATTGTTTGTGCCATTTTTCCATTCGATAAAGTTGGTTAACTCAGCAATTTAATATGAAAAAAAAAGGATCAGGAGAATAATTTATGCGTGTTAATGAGTCCTTAATCAGTATTAGATGAAGGCATCAGGATAGTGGGGTGATGGCAGATGATGGTAATTAATAATTTTAATCATATGAATAAGTGAATTAATGGTAATTATGTGGGGGGGTGGGGGGGGGGCGTGGGCTTTTTTAATGTGTCCTTTCGCAGTTTGCTGCGTGATTATTGTCCAAAAACGACCGGCCTTCAACCGTTTCATCGCCGACCGCCATCCGCAGGACTCCACGTCAGCGTACGTTAATTTCGTTAATTATGTGGGGACCACGCCACTCCCCCTTCGTACGGCCTTTTTAGCTGTCTCGCTATCCCTCTCTACGCATGTCGTTTCGGGTCTCTCTTCTCGGAATCTCTCACGCGCCCCCCCCCCCCCACACGGCGCGCGTCGGGGCCACGCTCCATCTGACCGAGCTCGTAACATGCTGAAATTATTAAGGAACTCTTGGTGCATCCGGCTAATCCACTCGAGCTCTGAAAGTGCCTCGGAGAATTTTCAATCCGATTACACCCCGATTTCATGAAATTCAAATTCGTTGCCGAGGACATTCTATGAGGGAGCATCTTGCTCTGTATGTCACTCGTCCTATATTGTTGTAATGGATCGTCAATTTAACAAACGGCTGTAATTTGAATCAAAGAATTGATAATTGACTAAAACTCTTTTAGTAAGCTCAAAATCCGGGAGAACTCCACATTAGACTATAAATATTGATTATGACATGTCACTATCCCTAATCTAACGGGCAAAAAAGTGAAAAGGGCGTGACTAACGTGATTGTCCTCTTTGTGCGTTACCATAAGAGTGTCATTCTTGACGAGGAAAGTTCGAATGGAATCATGATTATCCAGTCCATTCGTAACGGTACCAATCCAGCTACAGCTCACCCCGGACACGACACCTGCTGAGCCGCGTCTCTCTCTACACATAATCCTCACGAGGAAGCAGATACGTGCCCGAGGCACGGCTGGAGGCTTGACACGGTTGCGAATCATAACCTCATGGGTTATCATTATCGAGCCACCACACTTAGGTGGTGGTGCATCACCACCTCACTTGTTACACCCAAGTTGCATGGAAATTGCATACTAACCCTAACAACAAGATTCGGCAAAGGTCGTGAGATCATGTTGTTATGGTAATGCCTAGAGATGTTAAAATGAGTCTTAAACCCATATATGACCCATTTAAAAATAAATGGGTCATATATGGGTCATTTTAATTTTAAAGAGCCAACCTTAAATGTGTTTAAAATTTTAAAGATAAATTGATCTAAATAGGTTGAGTTTGGAACCCATGTCCAACCCACCTACTAGACTTATCCACATACTCTCTCCCTCTTTACAAAAATGTTTAAAAAAAATCGAAATTTAATTATTTTTATTTTTTCTCCTTTTCTTTTATTTTTTATTTTTTCTTTTCTCTTCTTTCTTTTTCTTTTTTTTTTATTCCGGCTGGTGGTCGGCCACGGCCACCGGGGCGGGACGACCTCGCCGGAGGCCGGCGAAGCTCGAGCTCGCCGGCCTCAGGCGAGGCTCGAGCCTCGCCGACTGGGCGAGCCTCGAGCTCGCCGGATTCCAGGCCGAGCCTCGAGCTCGCCCGATCCGGCGACCTCGAGGCTCGCCGATCCGGCGAGAGCTCCGGCCTCGCCGATCTAGCAAGACTTGAGCTCATTGGCCTCGGGTGAGCTCGACCTTGCCCGAGGTTGGCGAGCTCGAGCTTCGCCGGCCTCGGGCGAGGCTCCACCTCGCCAACCTCGGGCGAGGTCGAGCTTGCCTGAGGCCGGCGAGCTCGAGTCTCGCCAGATCGGCGAGGTTGGAGCCTCGCCTGAGGCCGGCGAGGCCGAGGCCTCGCCAGATCGGCAAGAACGAGCTTCGCCGGCCTTCGGCGAGCTCGTCCTCGCCTGTGGTCGGTCGCCGGCCACGGCGGCCGGCGATCGGCCAAAAATGAAGGAAAAAAATAAAAATAAAAATAAAAATAATTAAAAATTCGATTTAAAAAATAAAAAAATATTAATTTTTTTTATTTTCTTGGATAATGACTTTATGGAAAATATTTTCTAGAAATGTCGCATTTTTCGCAAAACAAACAGAACCTCAATTTTAAAAAAAATTATAAAAAATTTTCACTAGCTTTGTATTGCATAAAATGTTTTAGCAGTATAATTTAAAAAAAAATCATAAGAAATAAGTATTCCTAGATTAGGTTAAATATAAAAGTGTTTTAGCAATATGGGTCGGATCGGGTATGGGTTGGATATGGGTCGGGTCGGGTATGGGTCGAGATATTTACACTATGAATAAATGGATCATAAACGGGTTAATGGGTCAATTTGGGTCGGATCATTTATGACTCGACCCAAATTCGATCCGATTCACCCGTTTAACAGGTCTAGTAATGCCCTACCTCTCTCTCTCTCTTCACCAAAAGTCTTATCTGTCTGCCTCTCTGTCACTCTCTCTTTCTCTCCCTAATATTTTTTTCCTTTTTTATTTTATTCCCACTGTCCCCTACCGAGTTCCACTTCTCTCTCTCTCTCTCTTCCTTATAATTACCACACCTCCTTCCATGAACTCCCTTGGCCTCTCGCTCTCTGAAACCTCTCGAACTCGCTCCGACGTTGCATGGTCCTAGCAGCAGTCCAGGCAGGCGGGAGAAGAAGCAGCGAGGGAGGGCTTGACGTAGGGAGCTCCGGTCGTTTTGCGCGGGGGGGTGTGTCTGTCGAGATGACGATGAGCAGCAGCAACGTGGGTCAGTTCGGAGACACGACCTTGACCAAGGTGTTCGTGGGGGGGCTGGCGTGGGAGACCCCGAAGGAAGCCATGCGGGAGCACTTCGAGAAGTACGGCGAGATCTTGGAGGCCGTCATTATCCTGGACAAGGTCACTGGCAGATCCAAGGGCTACGGCTTCGTAAGCTCGCTGAACTCTCAGTTCTTGTTCTTGATTTGCGTCGGTCTTGGGCTCATTATCGTGTAACGCGGGAGTCGAAGCACGTTCCTTTCTTCGAGTTGAGCACGTCGGCTAGCGATATGGAATGCGTCTCGATGTATGCGTTGGTCAAACCTGTTTCTGCCGAAAGTTTCTTTCTTGAAGCCACCTACTGTTGTCGTGTGCTTGGATGACGGTGTGATCTGTGCATTCGGACGCGTAAAAAGGACAATTAAGTAAGGTGGCGATTTTTCCGTTTGGCGTGCAGGTGACGTTCAAGGATCCTGAAGCTGCTAAGAAGGCCTGCGAGGAGGCGATGCCGGTCATCAACGGCCGCCGCGCCAACTGCAACCTGGCCTCGCTCGGCGCTCGCCGCCCCAAGTCCGCGGCTGTTGCTGCCGCCACTCCTCCTCCTCCCCCTCCTCCTCTCCCACAACAAGGTAGATACACTGTAATATATATGGAAGCTGCGTGAAACATGTGTAACGTATGAAAATGAAATCTCTAGGAGCATTCTGTTATCGTCCCTTATGGAACAATGCTATAGATAGAAGCTTAATTTGCAAAGTGACATGAGAAATTTCTTCTCGGGTGATTTCGCGAAAAAAAGGAAAATTTCGGACATGATAAAGTCGGAATTACTTTCCAAACAGGAAAAAAAAATGGAATTTAGAATCTTAATTTGCATATATTATGCGAGCGTTGTAAATTGTACATTGCATCTAATTCTTTGTTTCTTTTTTTTTCTGACTTTTTTTTTTTTGTGGGGATGAAGGATCAAACATTGTTGGACCAAGATCAATAATGGCATCCACACCAGCAAATCATCAAATGCAGTGGTATTATCCTGCGGGCACCCCAGCTTTGCCGTACCATCACCAGCACCATCAGGCCGTTCCTTTCTATGGGTATGATTTAACTTCCTTTGATTTTGCTTGATTTGCGGTTCTTGATGATATCTAGGATTGCTTTTCTATATACTTGATGATCTGATAATGATAATTACCAAATTCTCTCAATGTGCAGGTACTCCCCGGCAGCCTACATCGCCACTGACATGAACTATAATCACGTAAGTAATATCAAATCATTAACTCTTGATCACCCTTGTCTAATCTTTATCTTTTTACCGAGATCGAATACTAATAGATTCAATTCAAGTCCTTTACTTTCTCGAATTATTTTAAAGATCGTGATCGGAACATTTGTTAAGCAAGCAATTAAGGAAACTAAACATGGAATTTTTGGTGCACAGAAAGTAAGCTACACTGGGGGAGCCTACATGAACGCGCACTACTCGCAAGTGTATCCTAGCCAGGCTATGATGCCGATGTACCCGCTCTACCCCCACTACCCCCACCACCACCAGTCCCACACGATGGGCCTCCCGGCCCACATCTTCCAGCCCGCATCGGCCGGGCCCATGACCTCGGTCCCGGCCCTCGTGTCCAAGCCTGCCTCCATCGCTGCTCCCAACACAGGTTAGACCTTGATCACATCAAAATTCAGTACTTGCTCATATGTCTCTTGAGGGTTGTTTTCTCATTTACTATATTTGTCTGGTACTTGGGTCTCACATGGTAACATGCTCAACCTAGTCGATGTCTGCAACAAGAAGACACGAGTTGTTCTGTGTCACGTGAGCTTGTGTGATTCAGAATGCACAGCGCCAGTGGTTCTAAAGGGGAATACCATGGGCAGTCAAGTAGCACTTTCTTTTTCCTCTTGTAGAGTGAAAGGAACGGGTCCTGAGTTCGGATCTCGAGACTCTTACCCTAGACAGAAAGTGTAAATAGTCGAGTCACGGTCGGGTTGCTCTTAAGATGAAAGATATGCCAATGCAATTTGACTTGTCTTAATCAACATAAAAGAGGTCGTGCCGCTACTTGGAAAAATCTTAGAAGTAATTTGCTCAGATGACATCATTCTGATTTGAGTGAATGTTTTAGATGGTATAAAAAATTGAGTTGTGAAAATGTTCTGCAATACAAGAGAGAATTGCCCCAGTTTATGCAAAATTGATCTGCGGTTAGTTGGTCGCTGCCATTATCATAGAGTTGGCACTGAATTCTCCAAGGAGTTTCCTTTGTCTCTCTCTGCTCCTCTCTCTCTTTTTCCATTTTTGGTGAAAATTATTGACTGTCACTCACTCTCTCCCAAAATTGGTGTCAGCGATAAATTAGCAGGCAAGGTACATCTGACTGATGCCAGCTTGCAAATTTGACACTATTTGGCCATTCCTCTCTCAATTAACAGAAGGAAAAGAAGTTCATCAATCACTAGTCCATAATTGAGATCTTCGATAGTGTTCACATCAAAGCAAAACTTAACCATAGCATAGCCCTTGCATCACATGGCATCTTAAGTACAGGCCTGCGTGCGTGGCATTGGTGAACATCATTATCGGGGAATCTCGCCAGAATAAAATGTGTTGCACTCGAACAGATTAGAGCATGTTCTGAGTGAATAGCCTTGGATCTTTTCAATTGATTTCTCTCTTCTTCTTTTTTGTTGAAATTTAGCTGTAAACTGATATTACATGGACAGTTTGCTTGGCTGTGGAATAGGTACAGTTGGTGCAGGTGGTGAGGGCTTTAAAAAGGGTGGCTAGTTGGCAAAAATAAACATTTAACCATGAAGACAGGGAAGAGGAGGGTGGTGACTGCTCAGAACAACATTATTATCTGATCTGGGGTGGCTTCTCCTTTTCCAATTCTTTTCTTTTTTTCTTTTCTTCTTTGTTGATTCTTCAATTTTTTAGGGAGTCTGATAAGATTCTTTTATTCTCTCTCTCTCTCTCTCTCTCTCTCTAGCTAACATGCATATGAGCTGGGAACCAATTAAAAAACAGAGCAAAAAGATTATGTAAGAGGAAGCATGTGTATTGGGTTTACCCATATCTTATGGGTCTTGCACTGATGGCTTCATTGAACTTTCTCTGCATAAAGCTGAAATCTTTAAATAATTACCCCACTCTCTCTCTCTCTCTCTCTCTCTCTCTCTCTCTCTCTCTCTCTCTCTCTCTCTGTAGTAAGTATTGATTTTCAGTTTCTGATACTTTAAAGAGAAGGTCTGGTGGAAAGGAAGTTCATGTTCTTTCACGTTCTTCTGGGTTCAGCCAGCAAAAGTAGGATCAGGGTTTGCTTAACTTAATTGCAGACAAGAAAGCTCAATATTCTTGCCAAACAAAAAGAAACAGGGAGCAAGGAAGGGCTGGCGGTTCAAAAGCAAATGCATTCGATAACCAATTCTAGATTGTGTTTAGCTTTCGTTCTCACCGGCAAAGACTGGTGGAGCTCGTAAACGTCCACTCCGCGCATGGATTCCACGAGCCGTAGGCCTGATATTTGAGGATTTGTTGCGTTGAACCCATCAATTATTGCGTATTTGGGCACTACTAACAGTCACTAATCGAAGTAGTACCGAGGCAGTTTCCACCAGATCAACGACACTTACCGGTTGAGAGGAAGTGGGGACTAGGTCTCGGTTTAAGCATGCACCAATTCCATTTGGTCTAATGCTAATATCAGTCATTGGACAACCTTTCATGGGTGCCCAAAAGAAACTTGTACCAGAGGAACAATGAATTTTAGCCCTGCTCAATTGTTTCAAAAGAAGCACGGAGGATCACAGAAACGATGATGCAAGTATAATTCGCGTGAGACTATCATGATTACGATCCATTCCAGTTCGTTTGCGAGTTCGCTTCGTGCTTATTGCTTGTGTTCCAGCCATTTTCCTCAAGAAAGAGATAGCGGTATAGAATTATGAAACAAATCGATCAGGCAAAAACATGTGCACTTCACCAACATAATGAAACGGTTCTCGGAACCTTTGAATGATTAACTTGAATTAGTTTTGTTTCCGCAGGCCTCTAAACTGATTTTAGGGCCGATAAAAGCTTTGTTCTCTCGGCTTTAGCTCGTGAAACACAGTAATGGCCAGGCCCTTGTTTCCCTTCTCAAAATAGGTGAGTAATAGTTAATCCATTACACATGGGAACAAAATCGATCCTACATCAACCTGGTAGTAGCGGTTGCAAGGTCTTATTGGGTATACTTCCTTGCGCAAAATGGACATAACACTCTCTCCCTTACAAAAGGGCCCAATTTTACTCTTCAGCCAGGGGAAATGCCCAATTCATGCAGGCGAAAAGCTCCCACCGCAAACCACCCCCGCACCGCACACCCTGTGACACACTCGATAGGGGTCAGAGCGAATCTCATACCACTACACCAACAACCTGTCGCTCGTTTCCAATCGCAAAACTGATATACGCACCAGACTAGTAGCATGGCGGAATCTTTTGCAAAGGTACATTGACATCATTTCGTTTGGGTACATAACCCGCGCAATAGTGCATTGCATTGCATTGCATAGGACTATCCACGATCATCTGCTTCTACTAAGGAGCAAACATGAGCCGAATGACGAGGAACTTAAACATTTAAATGACAGTGATCTTCGCCATGAAGCAATCAACACACCTCACCCCCAAAAGACAAGAAAGCCGGAGCTCCAAGAAAAAGGGGGAAAAAAGAAAAAACCGCACCGATTCAAGCTTAAGGCACAGGCCGCGACGCAAGAGAACATCATAAATCCAGATGAGAGGATTCGGGTTAAGTCTCCTGAACAAGAAAAAAGATTCGGATCCCGCAAGGTCTCCAAACTATTTGAGAGATATTCAAACTTCGCCAGCAGAGAAATGATAGGCTCAACCCAGACTTCAGCAACCTTACAAGACAAGAAAGATGAATACTATGTTTTCCTCTCTGAGCGCATAAGAATAGCAATACTTTGTACACACTCAAAATTGCCTTCTCTCAATATGAATTCCACTATGCTAGCAGCCTGGCACATTACAAGAGCCAAAGACAATATAAGAGACTATACCCATGCATTTTTCACATAACGTACCATGTAAACCTCATCATGGGACATCTCAGCTCAATCATTCTTTTGGCTCAACCACTGAAAGTTCACGGAATTTTCACGCACTTAGATTTCAGTCAACATGCCATCCTCTGCAGTCCTAAAGAAATTCATCAACTTGGGAACAGAAATCCGGGCATCCATCAGCCTAACAACAGGTTTTCTAAATTTACATAATTTTATCTAAGCCAATAAGCAGAAGTAAAGGCGTTTCTAACCCGAAAAACAGATGATAGATATCACTCAAGTGCTCTCCATCGGTACAGTATCTACTGTCCCTCTAATCCAAGAGAAGCTCGATGATGGCCACTGTTACAGCATCATCTCGAATCCACCGCTCGTCATTGCTACAGAACACAGAGAACACTACTGTACATATGATGAGGATCCATTTTAAAGCACATTGCCGTGATCATAAACTCCTTGACAACTCCACAGAAGCAGAATGAGTCGCTCAAAAGCCACAGATTACAGTTAGAATTTGTGCTCCCAATCATCCATGAGTCTGTTCAGATACATCTTACGAGTCAATAACTAACTAAATTGTCCACCAATTGAAGGGAAAGAAATCACATAATTCATATCCAGGTGACACAGCCAATAGAACAAGTACTTCAAGTCTCAGAACTATACCTGATGCTTTCACCAAGGGGAAATCAACATGCCTCCTCAAAGCCTTCGAGTTCAAGCATGGGAATAGGTGAAGTTTTAACCAGCGAAGAAACAGAATAATTAAGCTGGTAATTTACAAGCATTGCCCCAAAGATGTTAAACTTTTGAGCACTGTTGAAAGCAACTTCCGCATCAGAACACTTCTTGAAAACTAATCTGGCACGGTTGGCATCCCTATCAAGTTCGGTCTCAGATTCTTTCAAGGGCCCAAATCGCTTGAACATCTTGTTTAGGCTATATTCTGAAGGGACGGAAGCTGATAGTGGAAACGTTAACACCAGTTCTGCTGGAGCATTTTCGTCCACATACCCTGGCGGTTTCTCCACCCGCAAGTTGCTTTCATCCAAATCTCGTCTCCTTGTGTATGATCGACGCCCCACTTTACGCACCTTTTGGGATTCCACAGCAACGAGTTGATTATCTCCTTTCCAGTCTGCATCGGATGGCTGCTCCTCAAAACCATTTCCGATGACTCTGTCTGTCCAGTAAGAGTCATTCATATCCTCAAACTCAAATGTCTCAGATTTTTTCCTTTTAGCAGATACTCTACCCAAAGTTGGATCTGGGCCAGAAGCAACAGAGTTCCTAAAATCAGAGAAGAAGCAAATAAGCACATTCAAGAAACTGTATTCTTGCATGGGGTCGAGAGCTGCCGAGTAGAGTTGAGACAGTAACCCATCAAGTGAAGAATACTCAGTCGGTATGATTGTTCTTCCCTTTTCAGCATCAGCAGTTTCGGATCCTTCTCCACCTCCGTTCCTGTCACTCTTCACAATGGGAGAACCAGTCAGCTGGCTGGCAACCCTACGAATGCATTCACCAATCTTAAAGGATGGCTTAGGAAATGGAGCGGCGCTAACAACTTTTGCAACACAGATATTTTTCCTTCCATCTGAAAGATTTGAGTCAGCACTGGGATCCCGAGCTTTACGCTTCTTGCCAGAAGATGGCGAGACCAGCATACCAGAAGCTTTACCATCAAGATCATTTTCTTCATCTGGATATTCCATAGAATCATCCATCAATTCAGCCAAACTTCTCTCTTTCTTCTTATAATCAGCTATATCCTTCAAGTTATGTTTGCGCCTATGGGACGAGCCTTTGGGGGCTTTCAAACCATCCCGCCCAGAGGAGACCATCGTGTCCTCAGAAACCAGAGTGCCAGATTCCATGTTGTTGCCCACAGGATTATCGCCATCGGAATTTAGAGCTTCAGCGTCACTTTCCATCAAGCCTTCACAAAATTGTAGTTCAGGGAGCTCATTGTAACCTTTCCGTCTGTAGAAGGCCAACAACTGTGCCTTAGCTATTACAAGATCTAGCCGATCACCTCCACTAGATGAGCACTGAGCTAACGTTTTCATATACTCTAGTAGTTTATCCGGTTCGAAAGAACTGGCACTCGTGGATTCAACGACGCCTTCTCTGGACCCTAAATCTTCTCGAATTCCAGTATTTTCAACAGTCTGGACCTCTATCTTGTCATAAACATCCTTTGGTATGCAAGAGCAAGCCAACCCCAACTCAACCCGTCTTGAAACTTCATCCAAAGCACAGTTTAGAGCATTCAGAAAGGACTCTGAATTGCTCTGCATTGCTATCTGAGAAAAGTGAGCCCGAAAGGGCTTCAGCAAGGATGCCTCATTCCAGGCAAATGTTCTATCACCAAAATATGCCACCAGAAAGCAGTCCTTCTTATGATATTTCATTGCCTTCTCAGACGCATCAGAAGGATCAAAGATCTGTCCAGGCCACCACGGATGGCTTCTTACTTTACCCCAAACCAAATCAGACACTGACAATATATTTTCATTTTCTGGTGGCAACTTATAAACAGCTTGGTTCACTCCCACTAAGCTTCCTGGCTTTAAGCCTCCATGTACAATAGTTGTCTCCTCAGCTGCCTTTTGCTTTTCATTGTCGGTAGGCTGATTATTGATTTCCATTTCATCAATATTAGTTAAACCAGCAGCATCAGCATTAGAAGCTTGTTCTCCAACTTCTGTGTCTTCTACATTTGAATGAGTAACATCAGGAGCTTCATCCCCATTAGAGCAAGGTAGCTTATCTTCCACCAGCTCCATAACATCCATAGTCTGATCCAGTGCCAATTCATTTTCCGTAGACTCATTTTCTCTACTCTCGGTCACATGAGCTTCTCCCTCTGTGATCATGGGAACTGCATCGACTGCTAGGCTCTGATCATTCCCTGTGGCATCCATACCAACAGAGGTGGAGTTTTCTGGGATCATATGCGGAAGGACCTCGCTTTCTGCACATGCAGCTTTACTTTCACTGATGACCGGACCTTGCAGGCCCAAAGTTGTAGAAGCACCTATGCCTTCAGCAGCAGCCATCGTATTTTCATCTTTTCCTAACTGATCCTCAACTACCATGTGGCTTTCTTCTGCATTAGCTTCTATAGCCTTCACCTCGATATTCTCTACCAGTCCTCCATCTGGATTAACCAGATTTTCATCAGAAACAGGAGGGTCAGTGCCTTCAACTTCAAGATTCGATAAATCTTGTGTAATCGCTTTATCTTCACCTTCAATAGTAACAGTGGTTTGTTTGTCCTCACATTCAGTGTTTACCTCAGCCAGATTTTCTTCTACTTCTACTTTCCCACCACAAGCTGTCTCCATTTCCAAAATGTGTTCTCCTTCTGAAACTGAGGTGACTGCTTCCACTCCGCTAGTCGGAGCCATTTTGTCCTCAGTATTCGCTCCCCCGACCATCGCAGCGCCTTTCTTCTCCAGAACAGAAGTGGGCGAACTCGAACTTTTCACAGTTGCCGAGAGGCATACAGCTTCTTCGGCATGCATATCATGAGCTGAAGCGACTCCAACATCAGAACACTGTCCACTCTTTATTCCTTCCTCTGTTTGCACGTCGGTACCTGAACCAATCACCTTTTGATCAGCAATTTGGTCCTGTGCGTACATAGAACCTACAGCGTCCACAGAATCTCCCGTCTTGGTACCCGTTACGGTGTCCTGCACAACATCACTAGGCTGGTCCACACCCTTTTCCACCAATCTTTCCTCCAAAACAGCAACAGCTTCCTCTATAATCTGTGTTTCCCCGATAACTTCCGTTTCCGCGATAATTTGCGTTTCCTCGATAATTTGTGTTTCCCCGTCTCCATCACCAACAATATCTGATGCATGCTCCATTGGAGGATCCATTCCCACATCACGAGCTTTGTCATTAAAAGTGCCGACTTCCCCGGAAACTGGATCTTCAACCTTGCTTTCTACAGCTTCTGCGCATCTCTCGCCGCCCTGTTTCCTACTCTCAGTCCCCAGAGAACCCCCAACTCCACCCTTGTCTCCAAAACCAGAGGCTTCACTGCCCGAAACCCCATCTTGCAAAGACTTCGCACCTCTCTCCAACCCCCTACTGCCGCCGGCCGATGCATCGCGACTGGCTTCAGCTTTCAGATTCTCTTCATCCCCGGGTCTGCAAACGCCATCTACAAAAACTTCAGAACCCAGAACCTCGACCATTATATCATCCCCATTACTAAACGCACCTTCCTCCGCAACAGCTTCCGCGGCGAGAGAACCCTCCCTCTGACCTTGACCACCACCATCCCCAGCCCCAGCTAGGGTTTCTTTCCGACCACCACTAATTCCATCTTCCCCTGCTGACACCGCGCTCTCCGATGCACTAGGGTCCGAAAGCTCCTTGTCTTCTTGCTTATCCATGGCGAACGACAACTGGGTACAGTTCAAGATTACAAATCTCGAGCCTTTCGGCACAGCGAAGGCACGAAAAGAGAAATTCAACAGATGGGCAAGGAGCTGATAAACCCTAGCTCAAGAACTGGAGCAGCAGATACATTCAAAATTCAAGATTTACAACCGTGCGCGTAGCAAAATCGAAACTTTGACATCGTATGGAGGAAACAGGAAGAGAGTGGGAGGGAGTTCGAAAACAGTTTGCTTTTTACCTGTGCGACTCGCGAAATATCTCCCCAGAAAGCGAAAACAGTGACGACCAAGATCGGGTCCAGAGGAAGGGAGGGAGGGAGGAGTAATTAGTAAAAGGAAGGGGCAAAATAGTAAAAAAGGCCGAGGAGAGCGAAACGCAGGACTGAGCCGAACGGTTTGGTTCGAGCGAAACACTGGACATGTAAGGTAGCGAATGATAACCATTCTGTTCCGGAATGAGTTCCTGAACCAGAAATAGATTTTTCTATTTCTGGTTCCTGGATGAGTTTCTGAGAAAAAAAACCCGCTTGATAATGACAAAAAATTTCTATTTCTGTAACGTAAACCCGTTTGATAACAAAGACAAAATTTCTATTTCCGAAATAAAAACCCGTTTGATAAACAAAGACAAAATTTCTATTTCCTAACAAAAATTCATTTTTTTAGAAATGGAATAAAAATAATAAAAAATTCGAAAAATTCATAAAAATCTTTAAAAAAATTCAGAAAATCCCAAAAAATTGAAAAATTCCCGAAAAAATCATCAAAATGTCGAGAAAATAAAAAAAATTTAGATTTCGGGAAAATAGGAAATTTGTTGAATTTTTTCAAAAAAAAAAAAATCAAAAATTTCAAAACTTCACTGAATTACTTAGAATACCATGTTGCACCCACTTTGTGAAATTTAAATTTTTTAGGTGCCCAAAAAAATCAAAAAATCAAAAATTTCAAAACTTCACAGAATAGTTTAGAATACATGTGGCCACCCACTTTGAGTGAAATTTAAATTTTTTAAGGTGCCCAAAAAAATTCAAAAACTCAAAAATTTCAAAACTTTCTGAATGGCTTAGAATACCCGTGGCCACCCACTTTGAGTGAAATTTTAATTTTTGGAGGTGAAAAAAAAGCAAAAAATCAAAAATTTCAAAACTTCACAAAGTGACTTAGAATACATGTGGCCATCCACTTTGAGTGAAATTTAAATTTTTTTAGGTGAAAAAAAGCATAAAAAATTAAAAATTTCAAAACTTCACAGAATGACTTACAATACCTCTAGCCACCCACTTTGAGTAAAATTTAATTTTTTTTAGATGCCCAAATGGTATTTTTGATTTTATTTTTATTTTTTTTGGTTCCTAAAGAAAATTAAATTTCACTCAAAGTGGATGGCCACATGTATTCTAAGCCATTCTGTGAAGTTTTGAAAATTTTTCTTTTTTGCTTATTTTTATTTTTTTTTCGACACCTAAAAAAAATTAAATTTCACTCAAAGTGGGTGGCCACAGGTATTCTAAGCAATTATGTGAAGTTTTTTATTTTTTATTTTTTTATTTTTTTCGGCACCTAAAAAAATTTAAATTTCGCTTAAAGCGGATGGCCACAGGTATTCTAAGCCATTTTGTGAAGTTTTGAAATTTTTTATTTTTTTTATTTTTTTTCGGCACCTAAAAAAATAAAATTTCGCTTAAAGTGGGTGGCCACAGGTATTTTAAGCCATTCTGTAAAGTTTTGAAATTTTTACTTTTTTGCTTATTTTTATTTTTTTTGGCTTATAAAAAAATTTAAATTTCACTCAAAGTGGGTGGCCACAGGTATTTTAAGCTATTCTGTGAAGTTTTGAAATTTTTTATTTTTTTATTTTTTTCGGCACCTAAAAAAATTTAAATTTCACTCAAAGTGGATGGCCACAAGTATTCTAAGCCATTCTGTGAAGTTTTGAAATTTTTGATTTTTTGCTTTTTTTTTTTTTTTTTCGGCACCTAAAAAAATAAAATTTCGCTCAAATTGGGTGGCCACAGGTATTCTAAGATATTCTGTGAAGTTTTTAAATTTTAGAATTTTTTATTTTTTTTTGGCAACTAAAAAAATTAAATTTTGCTCAAAGTGGGTGGCCATAGGTTTTCTAAGCCGTTTTGTGAAATTTTGAAATTTTTTATTTTTATTTATTTTTTTAGGTACCTAAAAAAATTTAAATTTCATTGAAAGTGGGTAGCTACAGATTCTAAACCATTCTGTTAAGTTTTGAAATTTTTGATTTTTTGCTTTTTTTTCTCACCTCAAAGATCGTGACTTCCATATGAATATGTGTGTTGAAGAAAATGAATTCCTCATAAATGGTTCTCACTTTTGTTCCAGAAATGAAAAACTAACTTTTTTTTGGTTCTCATTTCTGGTTTCAGAATCAGTTTTGGAAGCAAACGTGTCCCGGAAATAGAAAAATGAAATTGCGTTACCAAACGGGTTTCTGGTCCAAAACTGATTCTGGGAACAAAAAACCAGTTCTGGACAGAACCAGAATGGTTTTCATTCAGCACCTAATTGATTATTATGTTCCTCTCGTCCTCGTACGGTGAGTGATTAATTAGGATTTAGCTTACGGAAGACAGTTTTCTAAGGGATTGAAAGTGAATGGTATTGGAGATATATAGGATAATTCTCTAAGGGATTTTCTTATAGTAGAGATAATTAGAATGTTCCCATTGGTCTTTTTGTATCTCCCGCTTCGAACTTAGAACCGGACCACCTGATCTTGAGACCAATCCGGTCCGGTTCCCGGACAGTCCAATGAAACCAGCAGAGCACTTCGGGCTTTCTCGGCAAAAAGACAAAGCAAAAACAGGGGCGGCTTGGGAAAACTGAGAACGGCGGCAATAAAGGCTTCGAGGGGGCCGCAGGTGGCTGCTAGTGGACGTCGGGAGACATGGGCACGGCGGCAGGAATGGTGGGCAAACGCGGCTGCACGTCGGGAACGATGGGCAACGATGACGAGACGCCGGTTCGGGCTGCTTTGTTGGTGTAGGCGGAGCGGCGGTGGAGCTGCAGCGAGGCTCCGAGACGCAAAGAAGAGATTGGACCAGACGCTCATCAGAGCGTTTGAGTGTTGGCCGAGGATGATGAATGGCAGCATATGGGGGATGGTGGCTGTGCGGTGGCCGCGAGGGGGTTAATGAAGGCTCTGCGACGGTTTTCTTCTCTCCTTGCTCTCGGTTGTCTCCCCAGTGACCGTGGGTGAGGGGAATGTGAATACATGCGTGATTATGCTGTTATCTAAGAAATAAAAAAAATTAAAAATAAATAAATTGGTTGGTTCCGGTCCGGGCGGTCCAAATCGGAAACCGGACTAAAAACTACCGGTTCCATATTATGGAATTGAGAACCGGACTAATGCTTCTGGGACCGGACCGAACTAGCCACCAACCGAATTGACCAGTTTAGTTTGATTCGGGTGGTTCTATATGCTCACTCATATCTCTCGATATTGCACGTACATCTTTTTTTGATTGTGCATATATTGATTGATATATGTTACTTTATATAGTTATCTCATCAAACCTATAAATTTGCTATATATTCTTATCTAGAGAAGTATCTTAATTAGGCGTAGTGAGTTTACTTTTTCAAGATAGTCGTTTCCTCCTAATGGGAATTTTTTCATTTCGAATTGTAGTTCCTCATTATTTAATTTTTTTCCCCTCCAATCCAAGAAAAAAAAAACAACCCGTAAATTCTCAACCTCCAATTTTTCCCCCTCAATTTTCATCCCCTTGATTTACGTAGGATTGTGCAATTTGTCTATTGTTATAAAATAAGCAAAACCGAACGAATCAGACCACATGTATTTAAAAATCATCGAGCCAATTGGTAATGGTGAATGCTTGGAGTTCTGCTCAAACTCGTTTTCGGATTTGTTATTTTGCAACTCTCAATTTGAATCTACATGTATAGAAAAATATACAAACAATTTATTTATTCCAAGTGAAATTTTTGTGCCTCTTCCTTCAAGACAAATGTTTGGAAAACTTTACAGAAATAGGAAAATGAAAATTTGACAAGTAGAGGAAGGGAAGAAGAAGATGTCTCTAGAATAAAATGGCAGTATATAGATAAGTATGTGATTTGATTTTGAAAGAGAGAGAAGAAGAATTGGAAGGAACAAAAAATATTTCTATACAAATTTACATATCTATCCTTTTTATCTTCAGCGATAAAGATCGTTCACATTTCTAATCATCTAAGCCATTGTTGACTTCAATCGGTACTCAGTGATAAGATTGGTTGCATCGTACCTGTTTTAGGCCCCGTTTGGTTCAGCTTTGGGAAGGGGCTTTTAGCCTCGAAAGCCCCTTCCCAAAATGCTGAACCGTTTGGTTCGTCCGGAAAGCCGAAAGCCAGCATTTGGAATGCCGAAGCCCAAAGCTGGTCCGAACCAGCTTTGGGCTTTCAGCATTCCACAAATGCTAAAGCCTATTTTTCCCTTCCTAAATTGCCCTCACTCAAATTTCAATTTTCCGGTTAGGCGGTCGCTCGACCCCAGGCGGCCGTCGCCTAGGTCAGGCGACCTCGCCGGCCAGATCCGCCCTCGCCGGCCACCCTCACGGTGAAGAAGATGAACAGTAACAGGGCAAAACCGAAATATTAAGAATAAAAATTGCCAAAGCCCTTTGTAAAATTTTTTTTACCAAACACTACTTAGGCCAAAGTAGCTTCACAAATTTTTTTTTACCAAACACCACTTGCATTTCCCCAAGTGGCTTTCACCTAAAGGTATTTGCATTCCCCCAAGTTGCATTTGAAAAGTCGAACCAAACGGGTTAGTATTTACCAAGAAAAGGCCATGACTTTGTGAGATGCCACTTCGCTTGCTTCTTTTAGGAATAATTACCAAAAAAAACCATAAATTTACCATGCGGATGTCAATTTTTTTTGGGGTCCAAATACGGATGTCAATTCGTTCATAAACTTTTTAGTTTAGCCAATTCAATCCTAAACATTTTAAAAATTTATCAATGTAGTCATTCCAGTCAAAATTGGCCAAAAATCACATGACGTGATTGCCAGTTATCTTATGTGACACAGCCGGCGTTGACGTAAATGATTTTTACAAATTTTCTATCTTTTTTTCTTTCTTTCTCATTCTTTTTTTTTCCCCAATTCTCGCTGATTATCTTCACAATGGACGAGGGCGGCAGCCCTCCCCATATTTGGGCAGTGAGGGTTCAGAGAAGGAGGTGGCGACAAGGAAGGCCTTTTCGCTGCTCAGGCGTCGGCAAGGCCTACCTACATTACACGCATCATCGCTTGGAAGCCCCAGTGGTCCCTCCACCGTGTCGGTGGCTTTTAATCCTACACCGACCACCTCACTGCCATTGCCGATATGGTTGAGGGGGTCTACTCGTCGAACGAGCAGATTTTTGGTCGCCATCACCTATGTTGAGCCTTTTCCAGCAACTTTTACGTGGTTTTAGATTCTAGAAGCACACGGTGGCTTTGGCGAGGGATGTGGCCCTCGCCTTGCAGCTGGCGAGGCCGTGACCCAAATCTAGGTGAGTGCCTTCACGGCCTTGCCATGTGACCGGCCTTTTCGAAAAAGATAAATAACGAGTATTGAGGGAAAAAGAAAAAGAAATTAAAAAATCGTCCATGTCAACATCGATCGTGCCACGTAAGACACTTGACATCCACATCAATGATTTTTTGCCAAAATTGATCGAAAAAACTACACTCTAAAAAAATTTAAGACCGAATTGATATTTGACCTTTTTAGTATTTTTTTCGTTCTTTTGTCCTAATTGTAGTTAGAGAGCTGGTGGTAACAGCCATATTAAAAAATCCGTAAATCTCCAATTTTCATCTTACAATTTGTTCTATCAAGTTGTTTAACTTTTAAACTATCTAATCACATCCATAAATCCAATCAAGCAACTTTTCACTTCAAATTCAACTAACTGGAGTTGTCGTTTCTCTTATAACCGGCAACGGTTTGACATGAAAGCTCGAGCGCAATGTTCTTGCTCAGAGATATCATTTGCTCAAAACCTGTAGGTTTAAAGTCCGGTAAAAGTACACTAGGGGCCCGTTTGACAACGTGCCAAACAGTGAAAATTTCTGTTCTTTTGTTCCCAGAAATAGTTTGGGAACAGAAATGCGTTTGGTAAACTTTTTGTTCCCCGGGCACATTTTTGCAAAAATTTGTGCCGAGAAACAGTTTTGGAAGAGAAATAAGAAGTAAAAAAAAGTTGCTTCTTGTTTTTCGGCACAATTTTGAGAATCAGTTTTTTTTCTTCTTTTTCTTTTTTTTCTTTTCTTATTTTTGTGTTGTTCTTCCCTGGGTTGGGCCGGCGAGGGGGTCATGGCCCTCGCCGGCGAGGGCGAGGCGCCCTCGCCCAGATCGGGCGAGGCCGAGCCTCGCCCAGATCGGGCGAGGCCGAGCCTCGCCGTTAGTCGCGACGGCGAGGTCGGCCTCGCCCAGAGACGGCGAGGGTCCAGCCCTCACCCTCGCCGGCCCTGGGCTGTGGCCGGTCGTCGGCCCCCGGTCGCCGGCGACCGGCCATGGCCAAAGAAGAAAATGGTAGAAAGAAAAAAAAAATTAACAATTCAAAATATTGTTAAAATATTATTTGGGAACAGAAATTTTGTATAGTTACCAAACGCTTATGTTCTTTTCTACTCTAGGAATAGAAATTTTGGACAGTTTATCAAACGCCTTCAAATACTCAAAAATTGTTTCCGAGCACAGAATAAAAAAAAATCATTTCTGTTCAGAAATAGTTCCCGGGCACAGAATGGTATTCATGCGCACCCTAGAAGTGCCATAACTTGTGTACGACGATCACTTTGGTGCTATAACTTTTTTTCGGATCACTTTGGTGTCAACTTTTTTGAAAATCGATCACTTTAGTGCCAATGCTGACGTGGCTCGCCGGAAATCCGATGTGGCGCTGACATGGCTCGCCGGAGAGGTCCAGTCAGCATTAAAAACCAAAAACAATGCCGTTTAGCCCGCTTACGTGTACTTTTTTTTAAAAAAAATAAATTATATTTAAAAAAAAAAACCTGCAGCAGCGGCGAGGAAACCCTCGCTGCTGCTGCCGCCAACCCACCACCGCCGGGAAGGGCCGGCGGTGGTGGGCGCAGTGGTTCGCGAGGGTCGCCGGCCCCTGGCCGGGGCCTGGCGACCCTCGCCGAGCCCAGCGAGGGCTGGATTCGGCCAGGCGAAACCTCGCCGTCGCGACCCAGGCGACGGCGAGGTCTCGCCTCGCCCAACAAAAGCAAGGCCAAACCTCGCCGTCGCGACCCAGGTGACGGCGAGGCTTGGCCTCGCCTTAGTCTGGCGAGGCGAGATCGACCTCGCCGTCGCGACCTAGGCGACGGCGAGGCCTCGCCCAGCGAAGGCGAGGCCGACCTCGCCGTCGCCTGGGTTGCGACGGCGAGGTCTCGCCTCGCCGAATCCGGCCCTCGCCGACCACTGCGCCCACCACCGCCGGCCCTTCCCGGCGGTGGTGGGTTGGCGGCAGCAGCGGCGAGGGCTCGCCGCTGCTGCAATTTTTTTTTTTAAATTAAAATATTCGAAAAAAAGCCACGTAATTTTCACCGTGTACAAGTCAGACCATTTTTTTTAATATAAATGCCAGGTTAGCTTTTTGGCCGGAATTTTGGCCGGAGTCACTAAAGTGATTGATTTTCCTCCGACTTGACACCAAAGTGATCCGAAAAAAGGTTATGGCACCAAAGTGATCGCCGTACACAAGTTATGGCACTTCTAGTATACTTTTGCCCTTAAAGTCGTAACATTAGTCAATAATCCCCAATCGCCAAAAGAATTTCCACATCAAGGACAAAAAGGGAGGATAAGGATGAAAACGTATCACATGGATTCATTTGCCACAAATTAAATAAGATAAAATTATATAGTTGGAACAGGGGCACCACATTTAGGATCCCCTACCACAAAGGACATGAAAGAAAGAAAGGTGTCGGGGAATTACACGGTATCTGGTCAAAATTTCAGTAATGAAGTTCTGCATTCAGGGATGGTGAGGAAGGAACTGAACTTTCCCAGGGCCAACTCATGACCTCGGCTTCTCCTTCTTCTCTTTGAACAGGGCGAGCAGCGAGACGCCGGAGACCTTCACGACCTTGAATCTGACTCCGGGAATATCGCCCACGGCGTGGCCCTTCCGTCCAAATCCCGCAATCAGGACCTCATCCTGCACCCACCAATGTAAAAGCCACAATCAGTTGAAGAAACAACACTTACATGACTGTTCTAAACTCCTCACTCGGTCGCATAATGGAGAAAAAAGAGGGTCCTATTCGAATGCAGGTCGTGTGCAATGGACACTTCACAGAAGTTTCGGGAAGTATAGCATCGAAGAAAGAAAAGACTCTACGCAAAGGCAAGCTCCGGATTCATAGATAGGCGTCACGACGAATTTTCAAAAAGCCTAGATTATAGAACTCACGTTCTCCTCAATGTAATTCAAGCAACCATCATTGGGTACAAAAGCAGCAATCTTCCCATTCTTGATCAGCTGGACACGAGCACATTTTCGGATAGCAGAGTTAGGTTGCTTGGCTTCAATGCCACTGAAGAATCCAATCAAACGATAAGCTAGATCCACAGCGACAAGTTTCACTTCTGAGATCCCACTTCATAAATCGTGATACCAGAGAGAGAGAGAGAGAGAGAGAGAGAGAGAGAGAGAGAGAGAGAGAGAGAGAGAGAGAGAGAGATTGCGACTTTACATCTTCTCCAGAACAGTGCCATTAGCATGGGAGGAGCCGGCGAAAGGCTTTTTCCACTCATTCCCAAGGTGGGACCTCTTGTATGCCTTGTCCGCCTACCTCTGTCTCCGGCGGTGGGACTCCAGCTTGCGACCGGCTCCCATTCCCCGAGTCTTCCTGCGTAACATTCGAAACTCTATAAGCATGCAACACTCCTAAGACCCCCAGGACGCTAAGAATGGGAGACGCATGAAACCGAATATACCCAAAAGCCGCCACGACAAGAATCGATAAAGCCGTGACACATTGAGCACATACAGATTGCTCTAAAGGATAGCCTATTCGAGCTAGAATTGCCAAAGCTATCGGACCATAGAGAAAATAACTGCGACCATGGTAACACGAAGCGGCTTAGCAGGAACCGAAGAGCATCCAGCAACAAACACGACAGAACCAGGATGTTCTCCCGAAACTAAACTGCAGCTTGCAGCATTCGCTAAATTAAGCTGCCGCCAACCAACCAAGTGCAGCTGAAATTTCATATTGTGCATCGCTCTGTGCCTCTTCAACGAGTAAACTAGCGGCACCACTGAGACTCTAGATTCCAGTTTTTTCCTCTTTCCCCCACAAAAATCCAGCATCCTTAGGCCCTTCGTAACCAGAAAATCCACGCGGCAATTCTCACTCTCATCGATTCGAACACAATCGCATACGCAACGAGCGCTTTACCCCATTTTGTCCGGTGAAGGAGATCGCTCGACGACGAGAGACGCTGGGTGAGCTCCGACTTCGTAGGGTTGGTTCTACAAGCGCCGGCGACGAGGAGTCCTCAGCTCTTCAGTTTTTGCAGGCCTTTTATCGTCCGTCGAAGCGGGTAAGGGGGCTGTTTGGATACGCTGATATACTCTTCCTCGACTGGAACGGTGTCACGGGCCCTCAACCTGTGTAGGACGAGCCCGTTCCTGGAGCTGGATTCGTTAAATCCGGCCCGGTACTACATGCCCAGTCCTGATGCTTCTCTGACCATGGTTGTTCTTTGTTAACATTCTTATATTAAAGTTGTGAAATGATCTAATTAGACGACCAAAAAAAAAAAAAATATCTCCCACGGTTTCCATTTTGCTCACATTCTCAAGGACTTTCATTTGTGCAATTGGATAGCGTAAGTCGTGACATGTCCTGAGTTCGAGTTTTTCTCGATAAACCAATGATGCCTACGAGTCCCTGTTTGCGCGCTTTTGTCCTAAGTCATCTCCCCGTTGCCGGACATGCGTTGCCGGACATGCATTATCACGAGCCAAGTGGATCGACGCAAAGCGGAATCACACATGAGCACGGGATGAAATCCAGAGGGAGAAGAGCAAGACGAAGTACAAGAACCAACACAACAATTTTATTCAACCTCACAAAACAAGGAAAAAACGTACAAGAAAAAACGAAACAATGTCCTCGTGCTATCCAACCAGGACATAGATCGCATATATGATCCCCGGAATGTACCCCAAAATCGTCAGCAGCAAATCTATCCAGAACTCCACCTGCAAATTGCATCCAAATTTTCAAAAAAAAAAAAAAAACCCCACAAAAAAACACTAAAACTTAGATGAATAATAATATTGGGCAACTGATGGAAAAAAAATTGCAGAAAACAAGAAAGAAAAAAGTGCGTGTGGAAATATACTCCACAGCCATAACGAAGGAAGACTCCGACGGGCGGCAGGAGGATGGCCAGGATGATCTCCAGGAACGTCTCCGAACCCATCCTTCCTTCCTTCCTTCCTTCCTGCTCCTTTTCTGTTCGAATCGGGCGGACGAAACTGAAGGCGGACTCCTCAAGAGTTCTCTCTGCTGCGCCTTGCGAGAGAGTTCGCCGCGATGCAAAAATCTCCTGGCCGATGCAAAACCGGTAAAATACGTAACTGCAGCGGGAGAGGGGGAGGAGGACCACAGGTGGCGGCCGGAGAGGGAGCTTGGGAGCGCCAGGTGTGGGGTCTCTGCCTGCCACGTGGGGCTTCCGGTAGTGAGCAACTGCATGCTCCTTATGACTCGTACTCCCATGAACAGAAACCACCCACCCACTGCTACTTCGGTTCAGATGCACGTCCACGATGACTTCACCTTTATTACAGGTGCTTCTTATTAAGGGTGAGCGGTTCCAGGTTCCGGATAGGTTCCGCTTGGAATCTGGAACCTACCCTCGGGTACAGGTTCCTCAAAATGAGGAACCTGGAACCTACCCGTCGAAACGTGGAACCTGGAACCTACCCTGTCACAGGTTCCAGGGTCGGTTCCAGGTTCCAATAGGTTCTTTTTTTTAATTTCGGTTCCATGTTACAATTCCATTCCATAAAATACAATCAAACACCCCCCTCGAAAAAAAGAAGAAGAAGAAAACCTATCATTCACAATAAATGTGCATCACCAAATCATCCCCGGATGATTCACTATGATCAAAGCAAGAAGAAAGCCGAAACCTTGTATAATATCTCCAGTCACATGCCAAAAGATCCATATGGCTTGTGTGATTCATTGTTTTACATAGCCTAAGTGTAGCATATAAAATTTTTCACCATATCCACATAGAACGAATTAGTATTTCCCCCGCCCTACCACAAACGCTGAGTCTGAACAACACTAAAGCCTGACTACACCAGTCGACCATATTTTCAGCAAGGAGAATGGTGTCTTAACAGTGAACCCTGATGAAAAGAATCCTCAAGTCCTCCATTTACCCTGTAAAAATGAACAATTGCCTGACACTACTACACTTCACAAGCTGGAGATGCACTAGGATACATACCAACCAAGGGCTTACACAACATCGAAAGAATTCGACCAACAGTTGAAAATTTCGCTTAAATGGCTTCAGACTGCTTTCGATTTTCAAAGGCTTTCTAACTATATAAGAATTATCCTAGCAAATTAAGAGCGAAAGGGAAAGCACACAAATCCATCTTCATGTCCGTGTACTCGAACAATTTTTCAGACTCATGAGCACATTAGGGAACTCGCAGACATACTTGCCTTTCCTCAACAAGATCTCCACAATCTGCACATTCCCAATGCTCGCCGCAGAATGAAGCGGGGCCCAACCTTCTTCATCTTTGCTGTTTATCACACTCACCGACTGATCGGCATCTGACAGTACATCCACTATCTGATCCATTCGAATGAAAAGCAATTCAACGCAAAGCAATCCAGTGAATGGATTAAACAAACATCATGAACACCGAAACAGCCAAACATATTTCACAGCAAGCCAAGCAAATGCGCGAATCAAATGATTTATACTGTCATTCACGCGATCTCTTAGAAAACCCATTGAGCAAAGAACGATTGTGATTGTACGCAAGGCTTGAAGTTGAAGACATTTATTCATATTCCCCGTTGTACCTTGAGTTTTCGGCACAAAAATCGGTACTCTATTACCGGCGCAAGATCATCCACACTGCGACGAGGAATTAGAGAGAATCGCTTCTCCTAGACTCTCTGGTCCAAGAGGCTATAGCCTCACCGACTCAGAGGCTAATCCAACTGGACTCTGACGCTCTTCAGTGGCCATCGCTAACGAAGCTAAAACGACTCGACAAAGAAACGCCGAACCAGCGTCTCCGGCGAAGCACCTTATCTCAACTCGCTGGACTTCCGGAGCGCGGGCAAAAGGAAGAAGATACCTCGGCGTGACCAGAGGAAGTGGCGACGAGCCCGAATAATCGGAGCGAATTCGTGTGGGGAGGTCACAGGACCTGCGGTGAAGAAGGCAGAGCGAGGCGGAAGTGGGAGAGAACCGTGGAGGCGGAAGCGGAAGCGGGAGCGAGGGCGAGGCGGAAGCGGAAGAGGGAGCGAGGTAGAAGCAGAAGTGGGAGGGAGCTTTGGAGGATCGGGTGTGATTCAGGAAGAGAAGGGAGCATTTGGGAATTAGGGTTTCTAATACTAAGTTTATGTTTTTGGTTCCGGTTCCAGGTTCCGGTTCCTATAGAAACCGGGAACCGGAACCGGAACAGCCGGTTCCTAAAAATGGGGAACCGGGAACCAGACCCTCTGTCCATGGAACATGGAACCGAATTGGATCCACCGGGTCCGGTTCTCCGGTTCCCGATTCTACCCTAGAACCGCGCTCACCCCTACTCCTTATGGGTTTTGGTAAACCTCATGTCTTGCATCCATGTTTAGAAGCTAATAACAACCATTCTATTCTTTTATTTTTTTATATTTTTGTTCACAGAAACATATTCAAAACAGAAATCCGTTTAGTAAAATAATTTTATTATTTTATTTCTGTGTCAAATTTTGGACCAGAAATGAGAAGTTAAAATTTGTTCCTTTTCTTATTTCTGGAACAGAAATAGAAATAATAGCTCTCCTTTCTTGCTCACCCTTGCCCCCCACCGCCGACCGCTCGCCGATCATCCGCCGTCGCCGCCCGCCGCTGATGCTCGCTGGTCGGCTGTCCTCCGTCGCTCGCCGGCCGGTCGTCGACCGGTGGGAACAGAAATTTTGTGTTGTTATCAAACACTACTTTTTGCTCAGAAACTCGTCCAGGAAAGATTCTATTTCTAGCCAGAAATAGAGTCGAGGAAGAGAAAATGTTGTCATTCGCGCCCCGAATATAATGTAGATTAGGGTTCCATCGGATTGGATAAAAAAATGATATGATCTAAATTGATCTATTTAACCTGTTTTGATCAATTTATGTGCAATACAAATTTAGTGATCCAGATCCGTATTACTAAAACATGTCAATATTTAATCCAACCTATGAAAACTCGTATCCACTTATTTAACACTATTTAAGCACTTCGCTTGTGTATTTTACTTGGATGAAAATTTCATATCAAAATAAAAAAAAATTATATTAGGATAACAAGAAAATGTTAGTAAATAAAGTGAAAAGCGTAAAAAAAAATTATAGATTGAATACTTATATAAAGAACTATAAAAGTGTGCATGGTTGCGACGGCACATACTGTGAATGCATGCTTTATTGTTTAAAGTCTATTTAATCATCGCCAAATTCAATTTATCACCAAAATATTTAATAAGTGGATGCATAACAACTTGTTAATTCAATCTGTGGGAACAGAAGACCTCGATTCTTATATTAATTTTCCCCAAATTGATTAACTTATAATTAAAATATAGGTTACTAAAGTGACCTATTCATGACCTATTTTTTGGGTTACCAGGACCATTTTGACCGTTCTACTATAGATTCATGTCTATGCTTTGCTTTTAACACACGATTCATCCCAAAAAAGAATGTGGGTGTCGACAGGATTGATTTGGGAATGCATCAAAGAGTCTCGACTGTTAGGAAGAGAGGCCATAATGGTTTTGTTCAGGCAAACAGATGGCCCATAACACCAATGTGAAGCATCTTCTGAAAACTTACTTGCGGTATTATTCAGAGGATATGGGAAACAACAACAAGATCGCCAATTTGCCCTGAAAGCTCCCAGCCTTACTGTCCAATGGCTGGCTCAAAAGTCAGATCGAACAAATATAATCCGATAGTGTACAAACGGATTGCAAAACCACCTGAACTAGCAGATGTCACAGGACCACAAAAATGATAACACCCCATGTAACAAAACAAACTGAATGGTAATTGATCCGCTAAAGTTAAGCAGACACGCACGGGAACAGCTCCGGAGTACATTGGAATGACTCTACAAGAGTTGAATGGGACAGTCGAAGATCGAGCAGAGGTTACCATTGTTAAGGCTGGTAAACCTCAGGGAGCCTAAGGCCTACACTGGAAGCTGATTTTCCTAGTATTCTTTTCATCTCTTCTGATCTATCCACAGCAATGTTGTAGGAGAACAGCAGTTCCTGCACAGACATTGCCATTGTGAAATGTTAGAGCCTGAATGTTTCTACAAAGAACTTCATTGTCACATGATTTGGTTAACCTAAAAATTTCATTTAGATCCTAAGTGGCATCAAGTGTCATACGAATTTGTAGTAACATTTTTTCAAAGATACTGGAAAAAAATTTGGTTCTCTGCTTAGGTTTGTAAAGATTAAAAGCAAAAAGAACATCACTTTCTCAGTTTGTTTTGCCTAATCATCATTTCTCAACTGACAAATCCACAACGGCATGTGCATCATAATATAATCTTCTTAAAATTAGGAAACATCTACTCTCTCTATTTCTCGGCCTTCTTTGATGCTCTCGGAAACAAAGCTACAACCATTCTCAGAAAAAAGATTGCCAAACAGACATGATTCTGAAAAGAAACCAATGCATAATACTCAAAAACAGATGTTAGATCTCAACAAAGTTCATGATTATAAGAGACACTGCTTTATATTCAAGTTAAGTGTTTTTTAACTTCCGCTAACCACTAATCTTCAATAGAAGCAGCACACGAACAAAAATTTGCTCTATTGATAAAAAACCACAATTTGCAAGGTGAAGCACATTGATTTCCCAGCTAGCGGACCTACAAACTATGAAAGAATGAAAGAAGTGATGGTTTGGTGGGCTGAAAAATGGTCGCATTAACTGCAAGAGTAAAATTTTCAAATTTCCTTTCCCCTTCTTCCGACAAAGATAGTGCAAGCAAGAAAGCATCCAATATACCAAAACGCACCTTGAAGTAAGGGGCAAAACGGATATGACATAAATTTAACAATACCTTGTGATGGTGCACGCTGTTAAGGAGGAATGTGTAATCCTTTGCAAGATTTATTTTCTGTTGGATAGATGAGGGGTCCGTGAGAATGCAGTTCTTCCGAAATTCTTCGGTCACGTATTCTACAAAATGTTTCTTTGTTTCTTCCTTGCCTACGTGGCTTTTGACAGCCTTGAGGAGATGGCGATACACCTTAGCTGCCTGCAAGGCTTCCGAACCCATCTTCAACACAACTTTACTTGGCTTCCTCCTATGTAATTTTCGTTTTCTGCACAAGAAATATATACGCTGACATAGGAATTGATTTTATCAGTTGTTAATTGCAAAACGATAGCTGTGGAAGAAAACCAGAGAAAAAAACCCTGCCTACCTTGAATCCACATCCAAAACTACATCACAGAAACTCGAATGTTCAAATAAAAAGTCCCCATGTGTCAGCCAGAGGATACAGAAGAAATGCAACATGAAAGTGTCAACAATGAAGAGTAGCAAGCAAACGCATAGAAGTACAGGCCCAAACAATTCATCCTTCCTTATCGCCGAGTTTACGCATACATGCAAGGTTACGCATTTAAATTTCTTAGAGAGCAATCAGAGAGGAGGAGCACCGATTAGAGGTGATATCAAGTGCTTATGGATTAAAAAAGACGTCACACAACCAAAATCATATTACAAGACAAAGAAACTTTGCGTCAACCACGCATCAGCTGAGAAGAGCCTGTTAGTGCAACTATCAATTAGGTCGAGCTTCTCTTTTTCTCCCAAACACAAAGCATACGACGAAAAATCTGAACTCAAGAAAAATTTGTGGCAATGGGTGAGACTTCCAGAAAAAAATAAGCGCACCATACTCGAAGGCACCGCCAATTCCATGTTTGGCCGGTAATACTGCTCGAAGACATTCATCAGGAAGCACAACGCGCTCAAATAAGTTCGGTGTACAATCGGTAGTGCTGAAACAGAGAAAACAGAACGACCAACTCCATCATAAAAAGAGGTCGACCACACGACGGTGGCTGGTGGTGGCCGCCGGCCCTACCGCCGCCTACCGCCCCTGGCCACCAAAACCGTGTTCGATGTGTCTTTATGCCGTGATATTATCTAACAGATTAAACGGTCCACAATCAGGCCGGATGAAGACGAATTCGGACAAATGCGGCCACGACTAACGACTAAAAGCACACGCCACTCCAATTTTGGCAAACATTACAGACAAGAACGAGAGAGACCACGAAAAGCACGAATCTAAGCAACCGAAAGGAGATCCGCCGGAGAAAGAGAGAGGGAGAGAGGGAGGGAGGGAGGGAGAGGAACCTGCGGATAGATGCGAAGATTGAGGGCGAGCGAGAGAGCGAGCGATCGGTGCGAAGGTAAGAGAAGCGAACGCGCAGTCGAGCGAGGGGACGGAGTTTCAGCAAAGGAAGGAGCACTCGTGCGAAGCAAAAGAGGCGGAACCGAGCGAGAGAGAGCGAGAAGGAGAACTTCATTTTTTCAAGAGGGGCAAATTGGACTTTCAATAAGATTTTGAGGGCCAAAAAGATATTTGGCCAAATTTCACGATGGATTGAAGAAAGTAGGCTTCCAAAAATGCCAAAAGCTCGTTAGCTTTTTCAGCTTTGCCAGGATAGCATTTGGCTAAAAATCCTAAAATTCTTTCCAATTTACTATTGTTTAGCTTTTAATTTGCCTTTGGCCATCAAATGAAATGTGAATCGCCAGTCCTCCTCTCTTTGAAACAAGGGGTCTTATGATTTTGTCGGTGCCTGAAACAATTTCTCATAAATTTATCGACATTGTTCTCTTTTTCTTGATAAGAACGAATCACGATAGAATACGTCTTTTTTATCTTGACGAAATGGGTGGAATGGCTACCCACATTCCAAAAATATTTACGATATTTAGTATCTTATCGATGACTTCCGTTGGTGCTTTCTATTTGATTGTATTAAACACTCAAAATTTTCCCTAATAGGCTTTGGAGGCCTATATAGAAAAAGTTAAACCAAAACGGATCTAGGGTAAAATTTTTGGGCCAAATCGAAATAGAAAGTAGAAACACCGGGGGGGATAAACCGAAACAAAAAACAAAGGCGGGGCAACATATAAAAACGACACGACGTATCCAGGGAATTCATTCATCGCGAGAAGAGAGCGGCCAAGCCCACGGCCAAGCAATAGCTCCCTTGCATTTCCTGCGTCTTGCAGAAACGCATGTAATCTGATCCCGCAGCAGAGAGAGAGAGATAGAGAGAGAGCTTTTGATCGGATCCTCGCCTCGTCGGAGGGGAAAGCTCATAGCTTCGCAGCATCCGCCCGCGCGAGGACATGTCGAGAGAGAGACCGCGACGATCGACCCTGCCTCCCGCTCAAGAGGTCGTCAACAAAACTGTCGTCCACGTCGCTGTCGTTCATTCCCCCGTGTTGCGCCGCGCCCCGTGCGTGCGCTCGCGTCCGCGCGCTCTCGTGCGGATAGCGTTGAATTTTTCCGTTTCGATAGCGGAAGATGTCCGCTGCGAATCCGGTCATCCGCGGCCGTGTTTCCGAACCGACGAGACGCAGTTTCGTTTTGCCGTTAGAAGCTACCGCGTCGATTTGAGATTGGGGTTTTGTTGCGATCGCGTCTTTTCTTTCTGAACCTTTGCTTGCTTCATGCAATTGCAGAATATCGAGAAATTGGAGAAAGTGGTGAGCGAGGGCAATTTCTATGGAGCTCAGCAGATGTACAAGTCCGTCAGCGCTAGGTATCGATTCTTTCGCTGCAGCATTTCGCTCGGTTCCGTTTGTTCCGATTGGTATTTTGCAATCTCTCGACACCCTATTATGCAAGCAGTGAACGATGTTTGAATGTGCCTCCTGTTTAGCTGCAGCAGATCTTTTTAGATAATTAACCTGTGGGAGACGATGATGATCGCCTATTTGTACTTTTGAATGTGCTCACTCTGTATGTTATGCAAGCAATTTTTCTGGAAATGATTTAAATCTTTTGGAGTTTAAAGCGATATTACTTGATATCAGTGAACTGAAAAAGCTCGTCCCTTTCACATTTTATGAAGTCGAATTTGTCTGGTAGTCTTGGTTGCATTGACCTTGTTTTTTAGGGCATTGATACCTCTTGAAGGATGTAATTTACGCTCGTATTTCAGATATATAGCTGCAGAGAGGTATGCCGAAGCATTAGATATCCTACAGTCAGGCGCATGCGTTCAGCTGCAGAACGGTCAGGTTGGTGATCCGAACACTTCAATTTGATTTGGTTGATTTGTGATTGAGCAGGAAAGTGAAGTATTTATGGGTTTGATTTGATTTTGTTATAGATATATCCTGATATTGTCTGAGCTAAAAGCTCATCCTTGATTATTCTCTTCTCGATAGACATTTAGTCAATTTGACCAGGCATGTGAGAATTTCTTCCGACACCTCCCTCTTTGAATAGAAACAATCTCAGAGTCTAACTTGAAGTCGTCTGCTGATGTTATGCTGAAGTGCAGGTTACTTGTGGAGCTGAGCTTGCTTCTTTATTTGTGGAGGCACTTGTTAAAGGAAAATATGCGTGTGATGATGAAACGCTTGGTAAGTCTGCAACTGGCCCCTCTTCCCCTTCCGCCGCCACCACCACCATACCGAAGTACACTCACATTCATGTGCCCCTAGACTCAACCATGGAGGACTGACCAAGCACGAGAGTTGTAGGCCCACATAGACACAATTTCTTAGGGATATTTCAAACGGCAGATACAACACAAAGTGCAAGAAACTTGTGTAACTCTAGAGGTCCTCTACTAATGGAATAGATATTGTTCCGCGAAGTGAATACATCTTAAATTGTTAGGACCGTGACCTTTGAAGCACGATCTGAAGATAGCTTTCCAACTTGCTTTGATGTTGTCAGCATATTTTATTGATAGGTTAAATGATCTTTGATGCCTTTGTCAATGCCTCTTCATTCCTCATTGTTTGTGGAGCTTTCATCTATAATTTTCCACAAAAAAAGTTTTAATGAAATGTTGCAAAAATATTATTGTTAGATCGTGTCAGAAAAATCTACAAGAAATTTCCTCAGATGTCAATACCAGAACACTTGGGAGATGACGATGACGTGCAGCAACTTTCAGAAGCCCTTGCAGCAGCAAAAACCCGTGTAGAATGCTGCTCATCGTTCTTGAAAGCTGCTCTGAAGTGAGATCCCAGTCTTTTCGGGCTATATTGCGGTTGCATACCTTTACAATAGCACTAAAGTGCTTTTTCCTTCTAAGCTAGTGGCGGGACAGAAGTAATTATGCTATTAATTTGCTGGACATAAGTTTTTTGATTGTTTCCTTCTTATATCTCCTCCCGATATTTTCGTTGACTTAACAATGCTGCGATGGAAATTCCGCAATTACATTTTTCCGTTTTGTCTGTGGTCTTCCATTTATACCTTGAACCAGTGTATCTTGTGAGATTTGTGTACCCCATTTAACATAGATGGAAAAGCTCTGTGAAAATAGTTCTTCGCCTGAACATAGTGATAGGTATTCTTTTGCCATGCTTTACTTATGAACTTCCATTATGGTGCAATGATTTTCAGTTTTTTTGTGGAAGACCCTTGTGGCAATTTCTTTCTAAAGAGCTTCTTGTTATGGAGCTTTTCCAAATTATTAGATCAAGAGTTAGAAGCATATGTTCTTTATGCTTCTTGGTTCTGTTTGTCTGTTATGACTTGCACTCCCAGTTTTTGCTCTGAGATCACAAAAGTTAGGATGTATCACGTCTGTTTCTGTCCTCAAACACATTAATATGATTAATTGTGTCATTTTTTGAGTTGTTCTAATGGCCTTGCTCTTTTTTCTTCTGCTTGTTAGCAGATGGTCTTCTCAGTTCGGACCTCATAGGGCTGGATCACCAGAGCTGCATTCTATGCTAGCAGAATACATTTACTCTGAATCTCCTGAAGTGGTATGTCTGGCAACAAGTACATTATTTGCATTACCTCACAGTTATGCTTAATATTGGTTTCTTGACCCAAGTTTTTAAGAAAAAGCCCATTGTTGTTAATTACAAGCGCTTTCCTATGTAAGCAATAGACTTTACTAGTCTTACCATGAATAGTCTGCTAAATCAGTCAAGTTACATGTGAGTAATGATTTTCAACAGAATTAACCTGCATATTCTGTATCATTTTCCATTCCCATAGTAAAACTAATGGTTCACAGTCTTTTGTGAGCAGATAGGTTAAAAATCTTTTGGCTTAAATGTTTTACCGGGGAGAACTCGTAATTTTTCAATTACTCTCATTTGTTACAGCTCTGTTGTCAGCACTGCAACACAAAAATTTGAGACTATGCTGGATGTGATACTTATTAGTTTGAATATTGGATTATGGATAGTCCCTGTAAGGATAGCTTTTTGTTACTAACTTAGACTGCATGGCTTCACTCACGTTATTTTGTATATGATCACGATGCTTGATACGTGCCTAGATATCTTGGCACATGAAAATGCTAATTCCTGTCATAAGTCTAAGTCTTCAGGATATGTCAAATTTTGCATTTAAGACCTTATGTTCGTGTTGGAACCAGTGGTCTATGCCGAGACAATACATCAAGATGATGGCATGGTTGTATACATGACTTTTATTTTGGCCCCTAAAATATCAGGTTGGACTTTATATATTGGAACATTGCCTTCTGATATGGTTTCCCAGTCCTTTGGTTTCCGAGCTAGAAAGTACCTAGAGTGCAGTGAATGTTACAGGCCTTATAAATTTGCTTTTATGATTTGTTACCATTTTCTACTGCAGTGATGCCAAAACTGAAAGTTAATATGATTCAGAGTCATCTTCCATGCTCAAGTTCCAGAGATGATATAATAAACTGCTGCTTTTCAGGATATGGCTAAAGTGTCCCTTCATTTTGTTAGAGGAAACAACCCAAAGAAGTTTGCATCAACTCTAGTAAACTTTATGGGAAAGGTTGGCTTCAGTTTACTCAACATACTTCCTTTTTTTTTTTTTTCTGTTTTAAACGATGTGGTAAGCATAATAGGTTGTTTCAATCAATATTTTCATACTTTGAGTTTTTGGCTTAGACTATACATGCCTTAAGTGGCTCGCAGATTAGAAGAGGAAAAGGGGGATTCCTTGTAAATTCCTGTTCCAGTTCTATTGGCCATCTTCTCTAATAGTATTTTTACTCATAATTAAGTGTTTACACTTAAATTCTTTATCTATTCAGTGTTATCCTGGTGAAGATGATCTGGCAATTGCACGAGGAATATTAATGTAAGTTCTCTTAGAAGCAGGCAGAGTCGATGGAATCTTGATTATGGTTTTGCTTCATTGAATGAAATGTATAGCCTGGAATGTGAACTCGCCAATTTGAAGCTGATGGAAACTAATAAGTGAATAGTATTAATAATAGCACTAGGATTCTAATTCAATAGCTAAACCTGCATTACATGACTCACATTTCCTCATAATTGTTGCATACGCGAGCCTTGATACTTCATTTACCTCATTATTTGAGCTAATTCAGATTATATAATATGGAAAGATCACCTCATTGAATGTTGTCTATGTGCATTTGTTAGCGGAGGTTCCTCCTTTGCTGTGACCTGTATTCTGCGATGCTTTTGTTACTTCGCCATCTATTAGTTTCTTTCTGCACACTAATGGGGATATTTCTGGTTGCAAGTGTAAAAAGAATTGAATCTTCCCGCAGTTGAATAAATTAGGTTGACTTAAACCAAATGTAGAAACTTTGAAATCCCAATTTTGAACAATGCACTGATTCAACAATAATTAATTTTATTCGAGTGTTCAATATGCCATTTTTAGACTCCCTCTCCTTTCGTGTAATTAATGTCGATGTTCTGAGTGGTTGTGCTTATGATTCTTTCTTCACCTGGCAGGTACTTATCTTCAGGTAATTTACGAGATGCTAACAATCTGCTGGATGAGATAAAGCAGCAGCTAGAATCAAAACAGCAGGATTTGCCCAAGTCAGATTTGATGCAGTTCATAGGTTATCTTTTACAAGTGTAAGTTTTTCTATAAACAAAAAAGTTTTAATAATTGTAAGTTCGATTTTATGGACATCCTCAGCAGATGAGGTGTGCCTCGACTGCTCATAGACAATCCCAGCTTATTATTGGGATAGGGTTATCCTCTCTTTTTCTCGAGATTGAGGACCGGGAATGTTGAGCTTGAGACTGATGCGTTGAGAAGCTCCCCCTCACATGACTATTAAATGACCATTGAGAGATTTGCAATGCAGATTACAGAGAGATGCATTGCCTCTTTTCAATATGTTGAAAGCAAGTTACAGGCCGAGTATAGATAGAGATCCAGCATTCCATGAGGTATGCAGTCTAAATTGCCACTAAGATATCTCTCACTGATCATTAAAAGCTCAAAACTTCCGAACCTTCTAATTTCATGTGTGTTTTGACTGCTCATCAACTATCATCAACTCTTGCTTGCTTTGGCTTTAAACCTTATATTCAGTGGAGCTTCTGACATTGAAAATTGTGGTTCAGTTTCTAGATCTAACAGCGGAGAGGTTCTACGGTGTTCAACGCAGAAATCCCTTGCAGGGGATGTTCGGAGATATATTTAAGGTGAGGCTTCGTCAAAGTACTGAGATATTCGTGTGCCGTCCTACACAACTAATAAACCAATGTGGACGCTGAGCGAACTCTTGTTTCTTATATGGAATCTTTCTGTTCATATTCAGATGATGGGAGGTGAATAGTCCTGCCTGCAACTTTGCGGTCTTTCCGATGAGACGCTCCATATCCAAGCCAGAGAATTCCCTAGCAATTTTGTACGTTGTTGTTGAATTAACATTTATTGCAAAAATTTGTTGGGAAGTTATATTCGGATGAAACTTCACAAAAATGGAGTTCTTTGCTCTTTGTTCTGGTAATTTGTTCTCCAAAGCAGCGTAGTCGCCAGAGCCCAGATGATGGGAGGACGAGCACTGCCTTGGTATGGCTTTATAGTGTGAAATTGGATCGTGGCCACATGACTTCATAAGTGTTGCTGTGAAACTCAACTGATTGAAACGCAATCTGAGCTCCTTACTCTTTTATCTGAGGCTCTCTGTCTCTTTATTATATACTTTTAAAGGTTTGAAACTGGAAGCGCTGTCGCCCGGCTACACAAAATATTTCTCGTGATTGTCTGTGAGCTAGGACTCTAAATTTAGGTCTATTTTCAATTCCGTCCCGAACTTTTTTTATCTCATAAAAGATTTCAAATTTTCACTTTAGTCTCAAATTTGCTCACACGTCCAAAAATTGCCACTAATTTACTCAAAATTATCGACATCAGAACCGATTAAAAGTTTATTATTAAAACTTATGTTTTCATCAACATCCTCGTTATGTAAGAAATAATAATATTGAAGAAATAAGTGGCGATGCGCCAATGACTGCTTAACGTTGAAACAATTGTGCATCAAGAACTTCTTGATTGGAGAATAGATTGAGTTGATTGTTAAGCAAACAATTGTGCATCAAGAACTTCTTGATTGGAGAATAGATTGAGTTAATTCGATGATGCTTGTTCTATCCTTTTATCCATATCTTTAAAATTAGGGATAATCTTATCCCCATTTTACTGCAAATTTCATTGAAAATTCTAATTTGAAATTATATGGCACATTTACTTCAAATTAACCTTTGTTTTGCAAAAAAACCCACTTCAAATCAACTTTTTTTTACCAAAAATCTCAAATCGGTATTCCTAACCTAAATCTAATTACGGAGTAAATGTGGTAAATGTATCATGCTCTAATTTAGGATTTAGGTTTTTTTAACTGTATAAACGAAATGAAAATAATAAAAAAATGACGTCCGCTACGACATGCCGTCTCTCTCGTCTTCTCTCCCACTGCGAATTGCGATAAGCCACCGAAAAACCCTACTCTTTCCTAGCGGTTAGTCTCTCCAATGGCGAAGCTCTGAACTGAGAAGCGCGGAGCAGCTCGGAGATGAACCCCGCTCCGTCGCCGGCGCCTCCGCTGTCGACCCCCGAGCTCCTCGACCTCGTCGCCACCGCCCTCACCTCCGAGAAATCCCAACTGGAGGCCCTGATCCCCCACGCCCCGCACCTCACCCCGTCCCTCCTCCTCCCGATCTTCGCCTCCAAAACCCTAGCTCGCCGCCCCAACACCCTCCTCTCCTTCTTCAGATGGTGCCAGTCCCACAACCCTTCCCTCTCCCGGTCCCCGTCCCTCCTCCTCTCCCTCCTCCCGCCGCTCTTCGCGTACCGGAAGTTCCCCGACGCGAAGGGCCTCCTCGTCGCGTTCATCTCGTCCGACCGGCGGCACGACCTCCACGGCTTGATCCTCGCTCCCGACCAGACCGTCCCCAGGCTGTCCAAGGACCTCCTGGACACTGCGATCGGGGCGTATGTCCAGTGCGGTCACCCGCACATGGCCGTGCAGATCTTCCACAAGATGAAGCGGTCGGGGATGCGGCCGAACTTGCTCACGTGCAACACCCTTCTGAATGCCTTGGTGAAGTACCCTTCTTTGCATTCCGTCCTGCTGGCTAGGGATGTCTTTAGTGATGTCTTGAGGACTGGGGTGTCACCGAACACGAGGACTTGTAATATTATGATTTATGGTTATTGTTTGGAGAACAAGATCGAGAAGGCATTGGAGTTTGTTAATAAAATGGTCGATGAGTTCGGGTGTGTGCCCGATAATGTGACGTATAATACGATATTGGATGCATTGTGCAAGAGAGGCAGGTTGAAAGAGGTGAGGGATCTGTTGCAGGATATGAAGGATAGGGGGTTGGTGCCGGACAGGAAAACCTTCAATATTTTGGTTAGTGGGTATTGCAAATTGGGGTGGCTGAAGGAGGCGGCTCAGGTGATAGACTCGATGATGCAGAACAACATGACTCCCGATGTTTGGACGTATAATAAGTTGATCAGCGGGTTGTGTAAGGAGGGTAAACTTGATCAGGCATTTAGGGTTAAGGATGATATGGAGAATTCTAAGTTGTTGCCAGATGTGGTGACATATAACACTCTGATCGACGGGTGCTTCAAATGGAGCAGCAGCTCCGAGGCATTTAAGTTGATAGAGGAAATGCAGGAGAAAGGTGTGAAGCTAAATGCAGTTACGCATAATATAATCATTAACTTGTACTGCAAGGAAAAGAAAATGGATGAAGCTAGGGACGCCATGCTGAAAATGGAAGAAAATGGAATCTCTCCAGACTGTGTCACCTATAATACTTTGATAGATGGAAACTGTAAAGCAAATAACTTGGAAGAAGCTTTGAGGCTGATGCATGAGATGGGAAATAAAGATTTGAAAATGGATAGCTTTACTCTGAATACTGTTCTCCATGCTCTTTGCAGGGAGAAAAGGCTTGACAAGGCTTATGAATCGCTCTGTAGTGCCAGCAAGCGTGGTTATTTTGTTGATGAGGTTAGCTATGGTACCTTAATCACGGGTTATTTCGAGGATGAAAAGTCTGATAAAGCTTTGGAGTTATGGGATGAGATGAAGGAGAAGGGGATCACTCCTAGCATTATTACCTATAATTCTCTCATGGCAGGTCTCTGCCAGTTTGGAAAAACTGATGAAGCAATGAAGAAGCTGATTGAGCTTCTACAGAGCGGTTTAGTCCCAGATGAAACTACGTACAACACAATCTTAAATGGTTACTGTAGGGAAGGATATGTTGAGAAAGCATTTCAACTTCATAACAGGATGGTTGAAAATTTATTTAAGCCCGATGTCTTTACATGTAATATTCTACTTAGCGGTCTTTGCAAGGAAGGGATGCTAGAGAAGGCTCTCAGACTCTTCAGTGCGTGGAACTCAAAAGGAAAAGTTACAGATGTGGTTACCTATAACACACTGATATCAAGCTTGTGTAAAGAAGGTAGATTTGAGGAGGCGTTTGATCTTCTTGCAGAAATGGAAGTAAAGACAAAGGGGCCTGATTCTTATACGTATAATGCCATTCTCAGTGCTCTCACTGATGCTGGTAGAAGGAAGAAAGTGGAGGAGCTTATGTCTATGATGGTTGAAGCAGGGAAATTAACGGATTTCTCCATACAAGAGGAGCAGGCACAAAACGCTGCGATTAATGAACCTCCGGAGGAGCTTGATTCAAATTCTATTGCCTATTCAGAACAGATAATTGAGCTATGTTCTCAGAGTAAATACAAGGATGCTATGTTAGTTTTTGAAGATTCAAAACAGCAGGGTGTTGTCCTAAGCAAGATGGCCTACATCAGTTTGATGGTTGGGCTCATTAAAAGAAGAAAGAGCATCTCTAGGGTTGCAAGACAGTAATTATGTTTTCTCAGGGTGTTAAATTGATATTGGCAACATGGGGGCAAAGCCGTCGGTGCTGTTTTCTGTGACATTGCACCAAAGGCGAACCTGCTTCGAGGTATAGTCACCCTCTCCTTCCTCTCCTGTTCTGTGGGCTCCCATGTCAAATTTTTTTGTGCTCAGCGATGCTCATAACTAGGAGCTAGGCTTGATTAGTTTCAATAAAACTGCTTTCTGGTAGAAAATCTTTGTATTAGAAATTTTTTTCACGGGAAACAATTTACATAACATTTTGTCAGTATTTGGTGCATATGCAAGATCTTTGGTTTTCTGATGTTACTCTGGTCGGTGAAAAGCACCTCTAACTCTAAGGCCGCACCATGAATATTTGAATAACTGGAGATTTAGACTCTTCTATTTCTATTCCAGGAAAATGTTTGTGGTACTGTGTTAGGTTGCACTGCAATGCAAGCTTCAAGTTGTAGCTAACTGTTGAGAGTTAGGAGTTGCTGACAAACCTAGGTGAGTTATTGGTCATTACAATTACAATAAATTTGAAGCAACTCTTCCCATGCCTTTTTGACACTTTGTCTATTTACTTTAATTTCAGTGTAGCGCTGAAGACAAATACGGTGGCACTTTTTAAGCCTGATCGAAAGTGTTATTTCTCCAATGAGGGTAAGTCAAAGTAAATCTCATCTCTGAAGAATATCAAATTGCGACATTACCTTGCTGGCCAAGAAACTGTGACGTTAGTTCTATATGTCTTTGACTGTCAAATGTAACAGGTCCATTGAAGGGATACATAAAGCTTCACTAGAGCTGGAGATGGAATTGCAGTTGGCTTAGTTTGTTTGAAGCCAAAGAGGACAATAAGGATTGTACTTGCTGTGGAAGTGGGCAAATGACCGAGTGGCATGCTGAGAATCAGGAATTTTCTAGTTAGGTTAATTCAGTAATTCAGTTCTGCTATCAAAGGAAATAAAGAAGTGAGAGTCGGGTGCAAATTCTTTCATAAGAGTGCATATTATTTAGTCTTGCAATTGGAGATATAAGTAGGCGAGTAGAAACGGCAAAGGAACTCATGGGCAGTAGCTTGAAAGCCATTAAAACCCTGAAGATGGGAAGGGGAAATTTAGCCTGTATATCGATGAGATTAATAGATAAATGCATAATGATTCATGCACCGCCCATTGTACATCTCACTGGTTCTTATGTTAATCATCGTTCCATCGGATTTTGATTTCACCTCGCTTTTGCAGCTGGAGATTACTAGTGAATGTGGAACTTTGACAGTTTATTCAGGTATATGTTCCTGTAGTAGTATTTATGTTAAGGAAAATAGAGCTATAAATTTCGCAACCTCCTACTATAACTATAAACGGAGATTAAAACCTGTATCAGGGTTCTTTGCCTCAGTCATTTGTAATTCTGTACTTTTGAGTACTATATCCCTCTGCTTTGTGGTTGCATTCCAGAATGTGTGATAGACATGACTAGAAACGCATTTCATTCCATGGCTAATATGTACAGATTTTGTAACCTAATAGAGTAGATCTGCAGCCACGTTTTGAAGATCATTTGCTCGCAATCATTGCATTCTAGAAAGGTCGATTGTTTATCCCAAATTTGGGGAACAATTCGACTCTCTCAAAGTCCACACACGAGAATTAATCTAAGCCACAAAGGAGTGCTTGACACAGTTGCTCGATTCACACTCTCTGCACCGGAAGCATGCCATGAATCTTCACTTTCAACTTTTGAGTTAACAATAATGTCGAATTAGCCGGGTTGTTATCATCGAATGACTCGCTGTTGGGTTGGTCAGAAGAGACTGCAATGCAACAAAGCATTTCCGGTCATGATACTTACAGATCATTGAAGCTCGATTAACATAATCTTTTCAGGGTTGAAACATTTGCACCCTGGTATTAGAATACAGTTGCAGAGCGAAAGAGGACACAGCCGATATAGTGGGGGAAGGTGGTCAAAACCGAATAAAAGCACCATCTGAACTCTTGACAAATGAAGACTTCGTCAATGACCCACGACACCTACCCCATATATTGTAATGTCCTCATGCAATGTCCTAAAACATTTGTCTATCTAAAGTACTTCGGTAGATGCAAAAAGGCGAGGGTGTGTCCCAGACCGTTGTCGTCGTTCAACTATTCTTCTTCTTGCTCGCCGAACCAAATTCAATGCAGCTGTTGAAAAACAGAGCACATGAATACAACGAGATACCGCGGTTCCCCTGTCCTTACTTGACACGACTACGCGTTCCTCGATAAAGTAGCGCGTCTTTGGTACAGACCAAATAGACTATTTAAACTCTTCATAATTAGGGGGTAATTCTACAGAACGGTCGTGGAATGAAAGCGACTCGGGTCGGGGCTTTTCCCTGGTATGAAACCATGCAAAGATGGTGGACTAAGCAAGTGCGGTCGTGTTCACACGAACTTGGAAGCTCTCTTCTGAAGCAGTTTGGTTCTTTGCAGGCCAGGAGAAGTGGCATCCAACCTTTGCCGCCTTGATTGGCACTGTTGTTGTGATGCAAAAAGGGTGCATCCACTTTCCGTTTTTGAACATGAGGCATGTCCCACTTTGCAGATAGAGTTTGCTGTGCACTTTCACATAGGGTGAATCCTCATCTTCTCTACTCGTACTCAGGATGATTTGCAGCCTCTTTTGGGCATATAGAGATAACAACTTTTCACATGAATTGCGCGATCGCTTTTCGATTTAGAAGAAAAGCGGGGCTTAATTAGCGTAACGACGAGTTTATGGATGCTAAAGTCAAGCTCGCATGTTCGATAAACGACGCATTTTTTTTTCGTGATGCCAACGCGCACGAAATTGATGGGTCCGAGCATAAATTCGGTCGGCTAGTGGCGTACTTAATGAACGCCGAGCGTTTTCATATGATACGATTAGTCAATCGAGGGATTAACAGTAACTTCACTTGCAGTAAGGATGGTTCGGTCATATGTATTGCATCAGTACGCCCAGTCTTGCATCGATGGCTTGAAATCCCGAGAACGAAACGACGACGTTAAACCGTGCGGTCGACCCCGACGGAGACTGTCCAATCAAGCGAGGACGCGTGGACCTTGTTTTTACCCCTTTGATGGCGGACTTGGTCGGGCCGCACGCGCGTAGAACGTGCATGGATCGGTCATACGCCGTACGCCTACGAAAAAAAATTTCAGATGAAAAATAGTTCCCTCGTTGAAATGATGCGATTACTTTTTTTAAAATTTTTTTTTCAACAATGCCTAACTACGTTTAGATAGGGGAGCGTAGTGGAGAGCAGCGGTTAATAATGGTTTTCGCTTTTTTTAGTGTTAAATGAGGAAAAATAGCCCGTATATTCATTTGAAATTAATTCGACTTATTGTCGCGATTTTGAGGTAAATTAGGCCGAGAGATATACGGTGTGGATGAAAAATTATTGCATTTCGTCACGTAAGGTTAACCTTGGGAAAATTGTCCAAAAAGTCTTAAATTTATTGTATTTTTGTCAATTCGGTCTCGAATCTTTTAATTGTGCCAATTGAGTCCGTCCAGCTAATTTTGAAGGGAAATCGGTGACATGGGCATCGGACGTTTTATGTGGCACACCATACGCTAATGTGAATAATTTTTAATAATATTTTAAAAAATTACGGAATTTTTTGTTGTTTTATTTTTTTTCTTTTCTTCTCTTTTCCTTTTTTCCTTTTTTTTTCCTTTCTCTTCTTTTTTTTTTCTTTTTCCCTCTGTCGGCCATTGCCGAACCTCGTCGATGGCAGGCGAAGGTTGTTGGCCTCACGCAAAGGCAGACCAAGGGTCAACCTCACCTCGACTGGCAAACCCTCGCTTGATTTGGCGAAGGGTTGTCCTTGCCTGAGAACAGTGAAGGGAAAAAGGAAAAAAAATAAAAATAAAAATAAAAATTTTAAAAATAAAAAGAAAAAGAAAAGAAGAGAAAAGGAAAATTAAAGAAGGAAAAGAGAAGAAAAAGAAAAAAAGGGAAAATTTAAATTTTGAAAAAAAAATATTTAAAAAGTATCCACGTCGACGCCACCCAGCGTCTGCGTCAACGATTTCCGGCCTAAATTAACTGGATGGACTTAATTGGCAAAACGTAAAAAGGTTTATGACTAAATTGACACAATTTAAAGGTTTAGGACTGAATTGGAAAAAGCGCATTAACTTTAAAACTTTTTGGACAGTTTTTCCTGCGGTCTTTGGAATACTTTTTGAATATGAGAAATATAGTGGTGGGCGATTTAGGGCGCGAATGGTAACCATTCTGCTCCAGAAATCAAATTCTTGCCAGAAAATTGATTTCTGGAATTCTTGCTAGAAATTGATTTCTGGAGGAGAAATCTGTTTGATAAAACATGACTAATTCTGCTCCAGAAATTGATTTCTGGAACAGAAATTTGTTTTGATTTGTTGATTTTTTTTGCATATAAAAAAATTTAAATTTTACTCAAAGTGGGTGACCACAAGTATTCTAAGCCATTCTGTGAAGTTTTAAAATTTTTTATTTTTTAATTTTTTTGGGCACCTCAAAAAATTTAAATTTCACTTAAAGTGGGTGGCCACAAGTATTCTAAGTCATTCTGTGAAGTTTTGAAATTCTTTATTTTTTGATTTTTTTGGACACCTAAAAAAATTTAAATTTCACTCAAGGGTGGCTTCTAAGCCATTCTGTGAAGTTTCGAAATTTTTGATTTTTTTATATTTTTTTAAAAAAATTCACTAAATTTCCTATTTTCCCGAAATCTGACTTTTTTTTATTTTCTGGAAATTTTTATGAATTTTTCTGGAATTTTTCAATTTTTATGCATTTTCTGAAAAAAAAAATTAATGAGATCTCAAAATGTGTTGTAAAGGCCACCAAAAAGAGAGAAAAGAGGGAGAATGCATTCTGGAAGAGAGATGCTACAAAAAGTAGCTTCTCTTTTTCTTGCCCAAAACTCATTCTGAAATCAAGAATGCATTCTGGAATCAAGTATTTTTAACAAACACATTTTTATTCTAGAATGCAAAAATTGCTCCACAATGCATTCCGGAAATTTTTTAACAAACGCATTTCTGTTCCGGAATGCATTCTGGAGCAGAATTTCTGCTCCAGAATAGATTCCATGCGCGCCCTTACATACTCATAATCCCCACCAAAAAACGTTCAAGCGAGTCATTTTGCTTTCTCCTAGCAAAATGGCAGTGGGCGCGCATTGTATCACAGTGAGATGTGCCGCACGTCACAGTACACCATACAGCAAACCCGCACGCAGTAGGACATCTCTGTTCTTCTTTTCACACCCTAGATTCACACGAAACACCAAATCCAGATTCGGAAGAAACAAGAGCGTCATTATAAAATGCAAACTGACATCGTGAAAAGGCTTCGAGAACCGTAGAAACATCAGGCGCCAGTCTTCCCTGTGCGATTAGAATAAGAAGTTCCTGTTGGACTGCAAGTGGGAATGCATGCAAAAGGCATCGGCTGTTGGCTGCTGCTCGTCGTCATCACGCTGGGCCGCCCTTACTCATTGCTTTTTCTCAACACGGTTTCTTCACTGGAACCTGCACTTTTCCCATTGTCAAATGCCTCTGATATATTGACGACTGGCTCGCTTTTATTTTTGTTCTCTCTAAAGTTTTTCGCGACCCTCCGAGTTGAGTTGACCTTCAGATTTGGAGGATTCATCACCCTCCACCTGCATCACCATGTACTACTCTCTTGTTTCAGATCCTAAATAGCATGTTCATAATGCAGAGTGTCGTAAATGAGAGTTCGGAAAATCGATAGCTAATTACGAAAGAGCATTCGAATCAAATCGGTCCAACCATGATACGGCTCGTTGGTTCTAGTTACATGTTAAGGGCTTGCTACTATTCTTCATGATCTCTCTCCATGAAGTATAGGACTTTTCATCGCAGATTTATAACATCAATAACTCGAGTTCGCATCGCTCAATACTTGCATCGTAATAACGTAAGTTCATTGCATGGGTTTGCAAGGAGTACCGTCACGAGCCGTTACTTGTCGTGTCTGATTGAACATATCAAAATGACGATGATCAGTGGATAGTGGTGCAACATGTATATTTTTGTTTTGGGACTTTTAAAGATTAATCATTAGTCTAATCATGAGGATGAAACCTTGGCATCAGCTAGCTACTACTCCACTTGAGACCATGCTTCCTATAAATTATAGGAGAGAAAAGGATAGCTTATCGGTCATATCCTCACAAAAGTAGTCATAAAGTTTGACGACTGATCATAGATAAATTAGGTCACATAAAGCTATAATATAGTATTGATTGAACAAGGTTACGATAGTCCAAAGGAAAGTGACTCAGAGATCTCCCCGCCATTTTTCTCTGTCATCCGTTTCTTTCCCTGTGAACACTTCTGTATCAGCAATCCAAAAGATTCGCATGCATCCCATCAACCTTTTTTTTTTTTCTGAATTTGGGCCAAGACCCTCAGTTTGACTATCACGTATCTAACATTAACTAATCTCTCTTTATTGACAATTCCCGTCTCCTCTCCTCGTGTCCGTCTTTTCTTCCTCGAAACCCCAACATGAAGGTCGAACGCCATTGGAGCTGCCGTTCCTTCTCATGTCCAAAGCGGTTCCCAAGAAGAGGCGAGGCTGGTCTCGTCCAGGAAGCAGCTCGCGTCCACCGCGGGGCATTGCTGCTGGAAAACGGGCTGGTCTTGGATTTGAGACACCTCCATGCAGATGAGGGTGAGCAAGTTGGCGTTCTGGCATTGCACGTTCGCGATCTCGGCTTGCGCCTTGGCGAGCTGCGCCTGGAGCTCCACGACTTGCTTCTGGAGCTGAGAGATCGCGCCCGTGCAGCCGTACACCGGGTCTCGGATCCGCGCGCTCGCCTCGTAGACCATGCTGCTCACAGCGTCGGCCCGTCGGGACTCCGGGAGTTCCTGATAAAATTCACGTCCACCACGGGGCTTGTTATCGAATATCGAGCACGAGCATTTGACTAACTCCGAGATGCAACGAAAGATTAATGCAATGTGGCAAATGTATGCGTGAATTGTGGCTCAACCAGCTACACAGATGATATGAGCTTCAGATTAAAGCTGAATAATCAGAAACTTGATCATCAATAGCCAAGCCGAAGTTGACAGAAACAATAGGATCGACAGCACTTGATCTTAGCCCAAAAAAACAACTAAAGTCAAGGAAAAGCACGAGTCATGGTCCACAACTGCCTAATTAATACTGTAACCGCCAATTGATGGGAAATCTAGTGGACCAAATTAACTCTTCACGTCCTGAATCTGGTATATGGTCAAACCGCTTTGACAATGTTGTATGAATCACTATGTGCCCTAATATCAAATTAAGCCCAAAAATAAGTACACATTGAAATAAAACAAAAACAGGCGAAATTTGCCTACATTTATCGACGAAAATCACTTTTAAGGAAAACGGCTGGTTTTTATTTTTTTAATGTCAAATTTAAACTCGTTGTTTTAGTCCATAAAAAAAAGTTTTTTGGTAAATCGATTAGTTTTCTGGCGTCCAAACACCCAAAAGTCGGAAAATAATTTTCCTTCAAACGGACGGATTCTTAATTTTAAAACATCACGTTAAACATAAATTGTTCGAACATCGCGTGGATCAAAAAGGGTTTTTTTTTTTTTGTTCCTTTGCTTTTTGGCACGATGCAAAAGGATTTTGAATGGAGAAAAACATCACGCGAACTTCAATACATTAAACTTCGCTTGTGATGCATGACGCTTCACGATGGAGCGTCGAAAAGCGAAAACTTTCTCGCTCGAAACGCTCGATAGATGATGCATCTGAACAGGCTTTAAAATCACTGTTGATCTCTTTATGATCAAAGTTAAGCGGCGCACTTTTTCCAAAGCACGAGCTAAAGATAGAAGAAGACGATGAAAAAGAAGGAAGAACGAACAGCCTAAAAAGGAGCGAGAGCGAACAGCCGCGCGCGCTCGCGCCTTTTGCTTTTGCAGTCACGAACCAGAAGCGACATTCGTTTGACCGCCGAGTTCACACCGGCGGACTTGGATTTCCCCATCAAGTACGAGGGTGGGGAGTGGGAGTAAGTACCTGCAAGAACTTGATGATGTTGGCGGCCCCGAAGACCCGGTGGGCGATGGTGAACTTGTACGGCTCCGTCGGCGGGAAGTACGGCGCCAGGACGCACTTGTCTGCGGCGCACCTCCGCCGCAGGATCTTGCACGCGGCGCAGGGGCTGAGGACCCCCGCCGCCGCCGCCGCCGGAGCAGCAGCAGGGGACGGCGGGCACCCGCCGCTGTCGTGAGGCGCCGCCGCCGGGGGAGGAGGGGTCGCCGGGCAGAACTGGGGCGGCGGCGGCGACGGCGGCGGGGGGTGCGAGTAGGCGGGGGAGTGCGGGAGGAAGGGGGAGGAAGGGATCGCGACGGGCGGAGGTGCGGTCTTCTCCATTTTCGAAGAGCTTCGGGGGGAAGGAAGTTGCAGGGAAAAGCAGGGGCCGCAAATATCGCGATTTATAGGGGAGGGAGAAAATAGGGACGGGGTGCTGCTTGCGTCAGCGGACCCGGGGCCGTGACGTCATCAGTGTGGACCGACGAAGAGCTTAGGCTAGTCTTCCTCTCAATAAATGAAGTGAAAATTTTCCGTGCCGACGCACACGATGAAGAAGTCGTCGAGACGAACCCGCCCCCGGAGAAGAAGGTCCCGAAGCGAGAAGAAGTGAGTGTTAAAAGGAGAAAGGATACCGTGGCGACAAATGAGATCGTTAGAATTATCTTAATATCGACATCACGCCATCATCCGACGGTTTAAGTTTCTGAAAGAGTCAGCGGTAATCTCGCAAAGTCTCGCGTGGTATCGGAGCAAAGGTTCTCCGGGCACATCAAATCATTGAACAATTGACGGTAGTGCCATGAAATTTCACGGGAACGGTGTAGGATTTAAGCCCTCTTGGACATTCGTCATTCAGACGGGGGCTATGTGCTCACCGATCTTGGGTCAAATATTTTTGCAAAATACAGTATATTGTGTTGATGGTTCAGTTTTATTTTATTTATTTATTTTTTTTGCAGGTGCTTGTGCTCTTTTGATTGTTCTGGTTGATTGTTGAGGAGGTTGCACCGCCATATATATGGCGGCTTGATTTGGATTTTTGTTTTTATTTTACTTTATTTTATTATTTTGGTAGATCATGTGTGTGCAAAACGGACCGCCCAAATCGAAAACCGCCCAAACCGGACGGAACCGGCCGGTTCGATTCGGTTCCCAAGAGTGTCGATCCGGTTCCTGATTCCAAAAAGTCAAACCGGTGTCCGGGTGATCTAATTTTCGTTTCGAATCGACTACATATACTTTTTTATTTCTTCAAAAAAATTTATAAAATGTGAACTAAACTCTAAGTGAACTTCATTGACATAAATTCATTGACAAAAATTAGTAAAATGTGAACTAAATTTCAAATGATCAGTTCCATTGAATTGGACCGGATCGGGAACCGATCACCCCTTATCGTCAAGGAGCTTGGACCACCTTTGCTTGTTTATCTGATCTTGGTTTTACTTTTTTCTTTTCTCCTTAATATTGAGTGGGGGCAGCTGAATCACTTTTTCATGCATTGCTACATTAGGAATGTGACGTTTGATTTTATATTTGCTCAATTTATGATTGGTTTAAATAGCTGCAAATATAAAAGTTAAGATGCCTAGATTTGCAAATGGAATCTAAAATCTGAAATCCCAATTTGCAAAGGACTTTTTTAGCGACGATTTGCAGCAAAGTCTCACCCCTTTTAGCCACGAAGATATGCCACACAAAATAATATTTATCATCAACAAAATTACGGCAAATTACCAAAAAAGTTCCAAACTTATTGTATTCATGTCAATTAAGTCTTAAACTTTTTCACGTTTTGCAAATTGAGTCCATCCGGTCAATTTGACCGGAATCCGCTGACGTGGACGCCGGCCGTCCTACGTAGTACAGCTGGCGCCGACGCGGACATTTTCAATAATTTTTTTTCATTTTTTCACTTTTCTTTTGTTTTCTTTAATTTTTCCTATATTCCAATTAGCAAAATGTGCAGATGCTAACAACTCGATTGTCGCAATTAAAATGTTTATGACTGAATTGTCGCGAGCGCCGTAAATTTAGGACTTTCTTTTGATAATTCTCTCGCGAAATTCACTGGGACCACCAGATGCGACTATTCGTTTCGTGGCGACATTAAACATACGGACTTTTTAGCCAGAAATTTGACGCTCGTATCATTAACTCCTGCAGAAACATTCTTCTTCGCAACAAGGTTGGCCCTTCAACCACGAAATGAAGTCCGTCGCAGTTGAGCGTAGATTTCGAGCCACCATTACCATCAACCTCTGAAATTGGCCCAAAGGTCAAGAGTCACGACCTTTTTCTAAGGCACCACTTTTTCTGCCACGAAATTTCAAGCTCCGAGCCACAAAATCCCACCCTGTCGATTTGTCCGACCTTTTCGTTATCGCGTTAAACATATCCGTGTCGTACTCTCAGTTTCGAGATTGTGTACGATAGATATTTTATACTTTTCAGGAAAATATTTTCCCGAAAAAAATGACCGCTCGTGTGGTTTTCAAAAAATGAACGGTATTTTTCGGAAAATACTTTCCTGAAAAAAATGACGGCTTGTATAGTTTGCAAAAATGAACGAAGAGGAAATATTTTCATCGTCCATAAAAATAAGACGATCGAAACATTTTTCATCGATCAATAATTTCAAGTGACATGAGCGATTATTTAAAAAAATAAAAATTTCTTCGAGTCATTCGTTTTGCGTGAAACCAACGGAACTTTATTCCCGATGATTGTTTGATTAAAGTGTCGATTTCTCGATTGCAGTTTGTACACGTTCGAGTAGACTTTGCTCTTTCATTTTCTTCGATTGAAGATGATGGGTTCCTAAGTGGTGCCGAGTGGGACACGAATCCCACTTGGCGGGTATAAAGTCCTTCAGCTTAAATTGGACATCACGTCTAGAAAAAGGAAATGTAAAATTCGAAGATATGAAGTCGTTAATTGACAAGGACATTGCGCAAAATCCAACGACCCTACAATGAAAAATGGGGGGGGGGGGGGGGGACGAGGATTCTGGAATTTCAATGGTTGTTTATAATTACGTGTCGATTACGTACCATGGGTTGTCCTTGGTAAAGGGCCAAAAGAAATTGTTTTATACATCAGATTTGAGTATGTATGGAGGTGGGGAGCAACAACTCTTATTTCCATTTTTATGTTTTCATTATCCGGAGGCACGAGCATGGAGGCTCGGCTAGTTGAAGGCCGCAGAACACCCGGTGAGGGTCCGGGAATCGGTTTAGTCCATATCTGCAAATGGCCTCGACTCGGAGTAATCCGCACGCCAATTGGAAGGGTTCGAACATGTGATGTCTTCCAGCTCTAGAGATCGAAATCCCTTTTCACGTCTTGACCGATTATTATGTTCGTTCTTTCGTAGCTTTGCAAATCCTCTCTCTCTCTCTCTCTTCCCCGAGAACGCATATCCAATCTTTTCTTTCTCCTTCCTCCTCATCTTGGCGCATGTGCTGCGAATTGGAATTTCAATTTGGCATGGAACGTGACTTTCCAAATTGGCCTTTTGCCCTCTCTTTTCTCCATTTCACATGTCAAAGTCACCATTCCCAATTCGGCTTAGCGAAAAGGCATACATGCAAATTGGAGTGTTGTCTCTTTCGTTCGGAGTCAATAAGCAATATGGCAAGACTTGGTAGACCCTCATCAAAAGAAAGGATGCACTTGACTCATTCTACTGCAACATTCCAAGATAACCATAGACATTACGACACAATCAATGCTTCTATTGGTAGATTTCCACTAATCTCTTTCTAAATTGAACATTCGAAGCTTCTATTGTATGGGGGAGTATGTCGTGTGCGGGGGGTGAACAAGAAGAGGGTGTTTTTCAACGATCATGTGCGCCATGCTTATGACCTTGGTTTGATGTAAATGGCAAGAATCCCTAATTAATTGGTGACGGTGGTTTTGAAAATTGGAAATCTTTTGGCGGATGGATCCAACTACGCATTGGCTTTAAGATTGGCTTGCATCCCGTTGTCGTTTATGTTTTATTATTAGCTTGTAAGGGTGCGCATGGAATGCATTCCAGAATAAAAATTCTATTTCGGAATGCATTCCGGAACAGAATGGCGTTTGTTAAAAAATTTTCGGAATGCATTCTGGAGCGATTTTTGCATTCTGAAATAAAAATGCGTTTGTTAAAAATACTTGATTTCAGAATGCATTCTTGATTCCATAATGCATTTTTTATTCCGGAATGAGTTTTTGGCAAGAAAAAGAGAAGCTACTTTTTGTAGCTTCTTGATTCTGGAATGCATTCTCTCTATTTTCTCACAATTTTTTTTTCAGAAAATGCATAAAAATTGAAAAATTCTAGAAAAATTCATAAAAATTTCCAGAAAATAAAAAAAAAAGTCAGATTTCGGGAAAATATGAAATTTGGTGAATTTTTTTTTAAAAAATCAAAAAAATAAAAAATTTCAAAACTTCACAGAATAGCTTAAAACACATGTGGCCACCCACTTTGAGTGAAATTTAAATTTTTTGAGGTACCAAAAAAAAATCAAAAATTTCAAAACTTCACAAAATGGCTTAAAATACCTGTGGCCACCTACTTTGAGTGAAATATAAATTTTTTGAGGTGCCAAAAAAAAAATAAAATAAAAAATAAAAAATTTCAAAACTTCACAGAATGGCTTAGAATATCTGTAGCCACCCACTTTGAGTAAAATTTAAATTTTTTGAGGTGGCCAAAAAAATAAAAAAATTCAAAACTTCATAAAATGGCTTAGAATACCTGTGGCCACCCACTTTGAGTGAAATTTAAATTTTTTTAGGTACCCAAAAAAATTTAAAAAAATCAAAAATTTCAAAACTTTATAGAATGGCTTATAATACATGTGGCCACCCATTTTGAGTAAAATTTAAATTTTTTTAGGTGCAAAAAAAATCAACAAATCAAAACAGATTTCTGTTCCAGAAATCAATTTCTGGAGTAGAATTAGTCATGTTTTACCAAACAGATTTCTCCTCCAGAAATCAATTTCTGGCAAGAATTTGATTTCTGGAGCAGAATGGTTACCATTCGCACCCTAATGCCCGTATAGGTAGATATGTTGTAAAAATAAATGGCTTCGAATCAAAAAAGCAATCAAGTCGGACTTTGAGGCGTAATATCACTTTTCTTAAGGATTTATTTGCCCCACAATGTTGCTAATGGTCACCAGCAAAAATCCTTCAGGATACAACAAAGTCTCAAAATGAGAATACTAGATAGCAATTCTAGTATTTCTCCAGGGTCTCTTTAGGAAACAATTGAAAATGATGGCTGTAGTTTTCGAAAGAAGACTTGGAAAATTGATTTTTTTTTTCTTTCTTGCCAAAAACTGACATATATAGAAATCG